GTTTTGGGTACTTTCATTTAATGCATTGACATTCAATTTTTATTTGTAAACTCATCAAAAAATTGTTATCACAAATATATAAAATGAATCTGATGTCTAAATTCGCTGGGAAAAAAAAACTCGAAAATTAATTTTTAAAGAAAAAAGTGTAAACCGCAAACCGCCCGCAACCGCCCGCACATTTGCAAACCCTATCCGCACAAATCGCAAACCGCACTGCGGGCGGTTGCGGGTTGACTTTTTCCCAAACCGTATAGATGCGGGCGGGTCAAAACCGAACCGCAAACCGCATAAAACCGATCCGCGAACACCCCTAATGTGTGACAACAATATTTTACACCTTACTAACCCTACAATCTAACTAAGCATACAGAGCATGCTATCCATTCGAATGGTTTTCAATACTCAAGCTATTGCAAGGGACAGTAATAATTTGGTTGTATACTCTTTCACTTAATGGGTGTGAAAATAACTATACCTGCCAATCCCGTTAAGTCGGATATGTGATACACAGCTTCGATTTCCATCATTCACTCACTTCTTCCCTGATGCAAATCTTCGCCAGAAAGTTTGTTATCTGCAGTGCCCGTGGTAGCAACTGCTTCTTCCCGGATAAATGAGATGGTAATCAAATGGTCAGAAATTAATCTTACATTCTGATGAAACAAAAACAGTGCCATCCATTTATTTGATTTTGAGACCCTTGCAACATACCCAATTGCCTGAAGGGGTAACGGAAGAAAGAAACTGCTTGCAACACCAAAGACTGCAACGAATAAAAATAACTACCAATTTTTTATCATTATAAGTTATTATGTTATCACCATACTGGTGAATCCTACCAGGAAGTACGGAAGCATAATACAGATAAAACAGAGGGAATAAAAGTTGGACACAACAACTCGATTCAATAAAAGGCCTGAAGTCCTTTGATCTTCCTTGGAGTCCAAATTAGAAAGATTACCATTCACAACACGATAATCAGTGCTGGATGAATTGGTCATACCAGTCAAAGAATTAGGGCTTCCATTCTTGGAATCACTTGACTCAACTTCATCTCCACTTTCCCCTTGAACTGAAATAGCCTCGTTCTCATGTGCTCCATTCGTTTGAGTTACATTAGCAGCTGCCTCTTCAGCTTTCTTCTTCTCTTCCTCCCTTTGTTGTCTCCTTCTTGCTTCTTGCTCCTTTAATTGTTTAAATCTGGGTAACGCCAATAACTTGAGACCAAAAACAAGATTTGCCATTGCAACAATGCAATCATACAAAAACACACACACACACACACATAAGTATATATGACGAGCAATGTCATATATTAAACAACAATGTCATCATATTACAATAAATCAACAAGAATTAACCTTTCACCAGGACGGAGCCCCTCTGAAGTTGACTTTTCCACTTGGGGTTCCTTTATGATGGTGCTGGTTTCAAAAACAGATTTCTGAATTTGGGATTGCTCCTCCTTCTTAATGATATTATCACTGAATTTACTCACTGGATTTTTTGTAACCCCTGATTTTTGAAGAAATACTTGTTGTGCCATGCTCAATATGTTATTAGTGAACCTGCACAAAACATAAGTATTTAAAATTCTTGAACATTCGTGGAAGTTAAGGTTACTACTGATAGAACGAGGGAAAGAAAAGAAAGGAAAAAAAAGACATTTTATGGTTTGATCTTGATCATGCTTTTTAGTGTAGTTTCTCTGACAATGTTGTGGCTTCCACCATTTTGATAAGATAAAGGAAAATGTATGACAAGATAATGAACAATGCCATAAGCAGCTACATAATCATGCATTTTGTTATTAACAAATTATGTGCCATTATTAGTCCTCCAGATTTGATAGGATGTAGAGAATTGATTTTTGAGCATGAGCCTTGAAAACTACAAAGGCAGAGAACACCTTAGTTTTAACATGAACAGGATAAATTTAAGAAAAATTGGTAAAATCATCAATAAACAACAGATAGTACTTATAACCAAAATTTCAGGGAGAAAATGGAAACTACAAAGGCAGAAATCAGTGGAGACTACCTCACACTGTTCTGAAGAATGCTGTACCTAGAATGAGGGATGTGAGTTCACTAAATGTGGGATTTCTTGATGGCAAGCATAGAATGTGGGATTTCTTAATGTTTATAGCAGCAAAAGGCTTTAATGGAAAGCTCAGTGTTGGTTCTTTTCTATGCCATTGCCCAAAAATGGAAATTGTGAGGCTGTTGTCTCTCCTTCACTCCAAATTCTGTTTGCAGGTGAAGCAACACATAGAACCCATTATTCAACTACTCATGGAGCCTATTTCAGTGGCCTTAGAGAAACCAATAGGCTTCTTCAACATTATCATTGCAACGGGGTATGAGAGTTATTGATGCACCACTAAGATCGGAACAGTAAGCACTTTTTTTTTTTTGTTTTTTTGTTTTTGGGAAATAAATATGCTTTTGTTTCCAGCATCATTAGATACAGAAGAAGAAGCATTGCAATATATTTTTATTCACCTAGTAAAAACATAAATATCTTGGTACAAAACTACTCATTTCCCATTAGCAGTCACTTAATGCAATGTGTCCCTTGCCTGTTCTTTGTTATGATATTCGCTGATAGAAATATATATATATATATATATATATATATTTGGTGTACTCAAAATTTTCAAATGCAATTGGACCACAACTCAGATCATCTTGTCAATCAGAAGATGTTTGGGGTATGTTTGTTGAGGAGCAAGGCTAGTAAAAATATATTACCATGTATGATTGCTCATAGTTATAAGAAATCGAAAGACTAATTGATATGTTATGACATCCTATAAATCATGGAGTAAATTTTTTTTAATATTTTTTTGGGTACAGAATGATGGAGTAATATTGATTATAAATCAGAAAGAGTAAAAAAAAAAAAACTCCTTACTTCAACAGACAAGATGCGCAGAACTGAAGAGCATACCTTTCTGGCTCCATTGAAGGCTATTATTTATGAAGGGAAGCAAAGTTTTGCTAAATACTCTTCCACTGCCAAACAAAAGAAAAGAGAAACATCTTACTAAAATAAATATTGAAATACACTAGTCAGATAAATGTTTCAAGTATGATACTACACCACCAAGTAACTTCATTTTTTGACAATGTTTAATGATCAAAACCCAAATTCAAATACACAGTAACAATCCAAAAAATGAAGTTGAGTAACAATCCAAAAAAGTTGAGTATATTTCCACACAAAACCTATATGTCACTTCAGTCCATGCAATTGTGTAATCAAAATAATGGTTATTAATCTCTTACACCAACAAAACAATTGATAATCAATATGATCATAAATAAAGAAAAACCCACAAAACAAAACATGATAAATGAAATCAAGAGACCCACATTCAGTTGACAAAGAAACCAGAACATATTGCCAACACTAGTTCCCCAGTAATATGTAACCTCTGTTTGGTTGCTGAGAAAACGCCGGAAAAGAGAGAAAATTCAAATCTTCGTAAACTAACAAATTTTAAAGATTTTGAATTTCTTTCACTTGTACCCATTAAATCGGCAACAAAAATGGAAGGTAAGAGACCCAAATCATTAATCGTAAAGATTAATCACACCGAATGGAAATTAGGAGATAAAATACAAGAAAAATTAAGAAATGGACAGAGGCAGATCCATCCCTACCACCAGTTCTGCCCACCAATCTAACATCCACTCCTAGCCAATCCTCTCTTCTTCCATAGCCCTAGAAAACCGTAGAAGCCCTAGAAATAGAAATGAGTGGGGTACCTTATCAGCGGCATGAGAGTGAGGCTTCGAACGAGATTTCTTAGAGGTTGATTGGGGAGGCTTTGAAGCTTTCTGAAATGCCTCTGGCTGTGCGATCGATTCGACTTTGGACTTTCTTTTGCGAAAGTAGTTCCCGAACACAGCAAGCGCGATCAGAGATCCTACAACAACCGAAACCACAGCAACAGGAACAATCGAATCCATTTTTGTTTGCTATTATCCGAATAAACAGAAGATTTAGATATGTATGAGTGATCTTCAAGGTTCGGAATTAGGGTTCAGCTGCAGTGAGTGTTTGTGGATTATCGAGTAGATTGGAAGCTACTTTTGTATCTTCAAAGACAACGATCCTCTGTGTTGAAGGTCATTATGCGAATGAGGGACCACAAAAACCTTCAAGGTCTCCGAATCCCACTCGTTCCCTTCAAGGGAGAGCAGGCTTTAATTTTTTTTTCTGAAATTCAATTCCCGCCCCACGTTTCAAATTTCCCCTCAAACTTTTGGCGACCAAAAGATCAAATTAGTCGCAAAAACAGGTTCTTTTGCCAACAAAAATTTTTAGTCGCCAAATCTCAATCAACGGCGACTAAAATATTAGTCGCTAAAAGTACTAATTTGGCAACTAATTTTTTTTGGTTGCTAAAAATAAGTTTTTCGCGATCAAATTTTTGCTCCCCAAAAAATATGTGACCTTCCGCGACCAAATTTCTGGTTGGTCGGCAAAAGTATACCACTTTCTGCGACCAACTCATTTTTTGGTCGCCAAAATATAATCTTTTGCGACTAATAATATATGGTCGGCAAAAATAATGATCATTCGCGACTAATTAATATTTGGTCGCCAAATGTTATTTTTTTGCGACCAAAATTTTTTTGGTTGGCAAAAGTGGTCGCAAAATGTGTAAATTCTTGTAGTGATTCCTATTTAAATAGAACTTGAAACTCTATAAAAAATTACACAAAAATTAACATAACATAAGTAATCGAAATAGAACTTATAAACAACTCTCCCTAAATTCTATTATATAAAAATCAAATTTCGACCATCCATTTTCTGAGTTCCTATCTTTCCTAACATCTGACTAGTTTAAAAGAAGTCTTTGTCCTATAGCATTGAAATACCCACATGTCATTTTCTGTGTAGAGAAACCATGAAACTTCCATCCCCTCCCAATCACAAGAACATTTCCCTCCATTATCTTTTCTAAAAAATCACCAAGAAAATCCAAACTGTTGAAAAACATCTGTTTTTGTCTTGGAAAAAAGTAACATGCTCTGCCCAAAAAGTAAAAAAGAAAATAAAGAAAGAATGAAAGAAAGACACATGCCACTTTCCAAGACATTAGTAGTTTCCAAAATTCCAAGTCTAGGGGGGCTTAGCATATAAGTAAAAGAATATGCACTAAGGGTCCTGTTTGGCTACCAAGAAAGCATGGCAACAGATTTTCCGGACCGGCAGGTTGGCCGGAAAGTTGGCCAGCCGCTGCCAACACCACCACCAAGGACTAAGTGCCCGGCACCATTTTTATCGAAAACTTATGATCTTTTGGAGGAGGAAGAAGCAGAAAGAGTGAGGAGGAGATCAGAAGCACATGGTGGTGGTGATGGTAGTGGTGGAGGGAGGAGGGTGGTGACGTGGAATGGGGAGGGTACTGGATTTGTTGTATGGTCTCCGGCGGAGTTCTCGGAGCTCATGTTGCCTAGGTACTTCAAGCACAACAATTTCTCAAGCTTCATTCGCCAACTTAACACCTATGTGAGTACTCTCTCTCTCTCTCTCTCTCTCTCTCTCTCTCTCTCTCATATTCATCTATTCAAAGACACTCAAAACACCTCTCCCTCTCCCTCTCTCTCCCTCTCTCTCTCTCTCTCTCTCTCTCATATTCATCTGTTCAAAAATACTCAAAAAAACACACAAAGCTTGAAATTTTAATCCTTGAGCTCTAAAATTGCCTTTGTATGATTAGAAAGCAAAATTTGTGAAAGAAAAAGAGATAGAAAAGAAAATATATCTTTTTGCGAATTTTTTATTAAGATAAAAATTTACAAGAGAAAGATAGAGAAATTTGAAATTTTAATTATAGATATAGGTCTTAATAATTAGATTTTATTTCCATCAAGTCTTATTGAAAATAAGTCTTAATAAAATCATCGCTAAAAATAATTTTATTGTGATGATTTTTTGCATAAGTCGTTAAACTTCGACAATTAGTAGCTTTTTTGTTACGATTTGTATAAATTGTCGCTAAAATTTACAATTAGTGACTTCATCTGTGACGAATTTTTTAAATTTTCGTTGAAAGTTGAAAATTAGTGATATTTTTTTGTGACGATTTTTTTTAAACAATCGTTCAAACTTACAATTAGCGATATTTTTTGTGACAATTTTTAAACTATTGCTGAAAATTAATAATTAGTGACATTTTTTTAATAGTGTTTGATGAAAAATACCATTAATTATTATCAGACCTATTGGATAATTAGTCCATCTATTATGACCTACACATTAGTTTCTCTAAATTTAAATTTTCTTGTGTTTTTTTTATTTATTTATATTTTATAAGAAATTAAAAAGTTAATTCAAATGTTAATATCGGATGTAAAAAAAATACTAAGGAAAAATTAGATATAAAAACAACTTTAAGATTTGAGTCTTATAACGAAATAAATCATGAATTTTTAATTTTATTAATTTAAATCATAATTTTTTGAATTTTTTTTTTCAATCTAAATCATAGTTCTATTCTAGTTAGTTAAAACAATAATAAAAAATATATATATTTTTTAGTCATTAAACTCAATGAAAACTGGTATTTTAGACATTTTTCATACACCTAATTGAGTTTAATGATTAAATACTATTTTTCCGTCAATTTTACTTAATAAAAATAAGAAAATAATTTCAATTGAAAACAAATTAAAAAATTAGGATTTAAAATGATAAAATTAAAAAATCATAATTTATTTTGTTACAAGACTCGAACCCCGAGATTTTTTTATTATATCCCCCATTAATTTTTCTTGTAGTTTTTAGGAAAAATTACATGTCAGTGGCATTTTTACAAAATAATTATAGATTTATGAAAATATATATAATTTTAATTATTAATACTCATAAAATTTACCACTTATCTGAAATTATTTTTATAAAATTACACTGAAATCTTATATCCCTAGTTTTTACCATGGTCACTTTCTACCACTTCCATCTTAAACAAATTCACCCTTAAAGAAAAAAATTACAATGCTCAAAAAAGATATGTGAAAAGTTATCAAGAAATGAAATGTGTGATAGAAATTCAAATTTAGTGTGATTTGTAAATACAATACATTTTTTTAAAAATAATTTTTGAATTACGTTTTTGAACTTAGTAAGATTATTGTATTTAGAATGAACAAGTATGATCAATAGGCCTTTTGCTACAATTCTAATTCTCATCACCATATCTAATCAAAGTTTGTTGTTTATTTATTGAGGGATAATACATAAATAGAAAATATTTTATAAAAAAATCTATACAGAATGAGGTGACAAATGTGTGCCCCTTCATTTTAAAATAAAATACTCATTAAAATAATTTACAATTTTTAAAATGTACAAATCATGTTATTGTTTTCAAAGTTGAATGTGACAACTCTGGTTCAACTTTGGATATTCAAATCTTGGACCTTGATATTAACGTGTCTTTTAATGACCATTGATGCATAGTGTGTAAGAGTTGAATTGATATTTGATAGCCTAAGATGGGAGTTGTAATTTTTTCTTATTTTTCTTTTTGATAAAGTGCAATTTTTATTTATTCATTTATTGAGATTTATGAATGAAGTTGCTAAAAGAAAGACAAATGCTAACGAGTAGTCATTGTTTATTATCAGAATATAGGTGAAAAGTATTTTAAAAATAGATGAATTGGTAAAATTAGTTTTAAAATTAATAAAAGGTATTATGAAATTAATGGAAAAATGTTTCATATTCTTTTATTATTGAGATATGGGAGCAAAACTATTTTAGAAATAGGTGAAAAGTTTAAAATTAATTTTGAATCAGTGAAAAATGTTTTGAAAATGAAAAGTGCCTTGTCATCTTGTTTAACTATGAAGAAAAGTAAGTATATTATTTTGAAAAAAAACTTACTCATACAAATTTTTTTCTATAGAATATTTGTTGTTAGAATAATATGACAATGATATTTTTGTAATTGAATTTTATTTAAATGGACAATTTATTTTAAAACGATAAGTCTCAATGCAACTGTAGATTTTATCTGTTTATAAATTACTATTCTTATTTTAGACTTTCTTTTTCTTTTTTTCTTTTTTTTTTTGTGTGTGTCCCCTTCTTTGAGAACTCTTATTTTAGACATTGGTGGAGCATATGAAGCATAGTACATGATGATAGTGCTGTGGTTGAATCCTTGCTAACCTATAGAAGCATATTAGTCAAACAATGGTACCCCAACAAGGTATTGGTTTGAAAACAATGTTCCTTGAGGGTCAAAAGAATCACCCTCTCATGCCTTTTACTTTTCCTTTCAAAACCCATATAACTTTGACTTAATTTGATGAATATATGATCCTTGGAATATGAACACCAATCAAGACCACATTTTATGGCAACCCTTATGAATTACATAGATTTAAGAAGTATTTGTCACACATCATCTATTTGCATAGAAATAAATCATAAAATTAAGAAAAATGCTTGGGAGCACTAATTAGGTGGCAGTGGGTCCCGCTATTAATGATGTGATGTTTTGGTCTTGGAGTTGTATTTTTTTTTTTTTTTTACTTTTTTAATGCATTAGTGCTATTAGTGGTGATATTTTTAGTGAGATGAATCATTGTTGTAAAATTAATCACAACTTTCCCATAGGATGTGAAATTAAAAAAACATGAGTCCCACCCTATATAAAAGAATTTCTTCTTCTATTTTTTCTTTGTCACACTAAGGCATATCCTTTTAGCCTAAACTTACATAAAGTAATGCTACGTATATGTCATCTTTATTTTCATCGTCTTTGATTGAGATCATACAGCCTTGCATTGTGACAAAGCTAGGGGTGGGCTAAGGTGCCATGGCCCCTCCTAAGTTTTTCAACATTTTTCTATTATCTCTTTTAATTGAAGAGTACATATATATATATATATATATGCTAATGTCATTTGTTGTTTTGTTGATTATATAGTCCAAAATTGTATGAAATAACTAAGATAAGTATCAAGTAACAACTCATATAAATTCATTATTTTTTCTTACTTTCTAAAGATAACTTACCTATTTTAGGATAAATTACACTTATCTCCTAACAAATACAAAAACCTTCTATGTGGTTTTAATAATTACAAAATTTTTCTTTACTTTTGCTAACAATATCAAGATTCTCCCAATCCATTAATTTAACACAAACGTCGTTATTTTTCTATCCAAAATGACCATATTACCCCTTTAAACTAATAAACTATTTAAATAAAAAATTTCACTCACCTCCCTTGAGGTTTTACATATATATTATTAAAGATCCATGCATATTTTAACTTAACACCATAATTGTTTAATATAAGACTATGATAATTAATACAATATTTATAAGACTTATTTCACACTATATAAACAACGAAATATTTATCAATTTTAATTAATGCGTTTATTATTTAATTTTTTTTCTTTTCTTTTTTCAAGTTGAAACAAATGGATTTTTTTTTCCTGGAATTTGTCCTACTTATTTATTCATATGTAAGAAAATTATTTATCCCTAAATTGTTACGATATTATTAACAAATTTTAATTTTTATCTTTGAGTCATTAAATTTTTAGTCGATGCGTATTTTAAAAAAACATAGGTTATTCTTACTTGATTAAAAAAATAAAAAATAAATATACAAATAAAAAATTCTAATTGCTTCACAATAAATTAAAATTAGTTGATAGGGAATGGAAAATTAAGATATCATTTGAGAATAATAAATAATTCAAACAATTTCTCATTTCTTACATCTAAAAATAAAAATAATCTTTACTTGAATGAAGAAATTATTTTAGAATACTAAAATACTCAATTAATTTGTTGTATGATACTTAAAATATATTTCTACATCTTTATTTTTCTCATTTAAATTATTTTTATTAAATTAAATCTTAAAATTAATTTCTCACCTTCATTAATGGTTAAATTTTTACTTTATTTTTAATTTTTCTATTAATATTTATAGCGAAGTGTTATTATTTAATTTTACTTCTTCCGTATATCTAATACTTATATAATTTTATTGTCAAGACTGAGAAATCAGAATCTAATACTAATTTTAACACACAACGAAATAAAATATTTTCTAAAGAAAAAATTATAAATGTAATTTAATTACCTTTTTAAATATATATGAAATTATTGTTTATTTTTCATAATTTTTTTAAAATATAAATATAATTTCTTAACTGTATTTTTTTCTACAAGAATTTTTTGAACTTTCATAAACAAAAATAAAAAATAAAAAAATATTCAACCATAAGGTATTTTAATATTTAATTTAATAAAAATAGTTTAAATGAGATAAATAAAGATGGAGAAATAGATTTTAAGTATCAGACATAACAAATTAATTAAGTGTTCTATTATTCTCAAATAATTTCTCCATTCAAGGAAAGATTAATTTTAATTTTGGTTGTAAGAAGTGACAAATTGTTTGAATTGTTTATTATTCTCAAATGATTTCTTGATATGTCATTCCCTATTAACTAATTTTAATTTATTGTGAGGTGATTAAATTTTTTTTACTTCTATTTTTATTTTTATAATCATATAAGAAATATTAACCTGTGTTTTTTTAAATATGCATTGACTAGAAATTTAATGGCTCATAGATAAAAATTAAAATTTAAGAATAATATATGATTGAGAAAAGATAAAATAATAATTTTTTTACATATGAATAAATAAGTGATACAAATTTCCCGGAAAAAAATAAATCTATTTATTTTAACTTAAAAAAAATTCAAATAATAAATGCAGTACTTAAAATAATAAATTTTAGGTCATTTAAGTGGTGTGAAATAAGTATTATATCAAATTATTAAAATGTTATCTAACATTAATTTTTGAGAGATTATTTATTTTTAAGTATTTTATCAAAAAAATGAATAATGTCTTAACAATTTAAATATTTTATTTAATATTGCATGCAGTTTAAGAATTTTATTAAATAATGGCAAAATATGTATGTGTTTTTAATAATATATATGCAAAACATCAAGAAAGGTGAGTGGAATTTCTCATTTAAATAGATAAAGTAATTAATGAATATGAATAAAATATGCCTAAATTTCACATAGTTTCACACACCTTTTCCCTTTTCCTTTCTAAATCCCTCCCCAAATCCTCCAACCAAACACACCATAAAGGAGTTAAGTGTAATTTACCCTTACTTTTATTACTCGGCGGTATAAAAAAATTTTGACTTCGTCCCTAGTGACGCATGGATAAAGAGACGAATGACACAACATGAGCTTGATGCAGTTGTTTGGGATTATTTTTTTAGTGCATTTTTAATGTAAAAAAGCTACTAATATTTTTGGGAAATTATTAAAAAAATTTACTTGAGTAAAAAAGTTGATGTGATAGTTAATTTTTATCTGATGACAAACAATTTTTTTGACTTTTTAATTTTTTTAATCAAAAAGTTGATTGTTTAGCACATCCCCAAAGCTCAGCTCTAACACTACAACCCAAAAAACTAGGGATTCAAGAAAACTGCATCAAAAAGATGGGAATTTCAGCATGAGAAGTTCCAAAGGGGACGCCGAGATCTGCTTGTGGATGGAATTTCGGGGCATTCGAGCCCCGAAATCTCGGGCCCTCAATCATCTCCGTAATTTTTATCTGATGACAAACAATTTTTTTGACTTTCTAATTTTTTTAATCAAAAAGTTGATTGTTTAGCACATTCCCAAAGCTCAGCTCTAACACTACAACCCAAAAAACTAGGGATTCAAGAAAACTGCATCAAAAAGATGGGAATTTCAGCATGAGAAGTTCCAAAGGGGACGCCGAGATCTGCTTGTGGAGATCAGCAGAAAAAAAGGTGAGCCCAGCGCCTTTCCGGCATACCTCAGAGCAGCCGGAGAGAATGAAAACGCAGAAGAGGAAAACAATCGTTTGCTACTCATGGAAGAGAACAAGAACCTAAGGAAAGAAAGAATAGAATTAGAATTGCAAATAGAGCATTTCAAAGCACTACAGACACACTTGTTTGAATGCCTTTCTCACTACATCAACAATCCCCAGGCTAAAGTGAGAAGGTTATGTTAGAAGTGTGCGCCCGCGCATATGTATTGAGGGTAAATGAGAAAAGAAAGAAAATGTTGAACAGTGTTTGTCTTGTTGCCATGGTCGTAGATGACATGGGATTCACTATATCGAGAATTCATGTTTTGCTGTATTCAATGCATTTCCAGCTGCATAATTATGTCTCGAAATTTTCGTGTTTTGAAATTTCTATTATATTGTACGGTTTGAAGTACAATAAGTACAAGAACAGAGATTTTGGATTCAGATGATCTTTGGCTGGTCTTGGAATTACACCATCCAGCATTTTGATCCCAGAATCTCAAATGTTAATACTCAGTGGGTTCAAATCAAATAATGAACATTTCTTCTAAACTTTGTTGGGTCTTGTCACAGTGAAATATGAACAACTTCAATGGAGACTGGCCTTGGAAGGGTCATTTGGTGTTGTAGGTATATGTGTCCATCCCCATGTCATCTCCACGTCAGCCTTCTGGGAGTTTGTTGATGCCATGTAGCAGCCTCACAAGGCAATACACAGGCCAATGACGAGCCACCACATATGCTCATCTAATGATATATTGTCATTTCTCCACCATTTGTATTTGAGGCCATGAAATTATTAGACCCCTGCTATCGGTTGAACACACCACCAACCTGAAATTATTAAAAAACCTGATAATTACTCCTAGGCAAGGCATCTCCAAGATCTCACCTCCATATCTCACTCCTAAGATCTCACTCCACCACGTACCTCCAAATGAGATCCACACGCGAGATCCGTCATACGATCAGTGAACCTCCAGCTTATACTTGGCTCCTTACGCAATATGTCTCCAATTTACACTTGGCTCTGAAATAACCTAGGTCCACTCTGGATGATTGAATAACTTGTGGCTGAGGGTAGAGTTGAGGGATCGTCAAGATTACCGCTCAAGGAGACTTGACAAATCCCACATGGGAGAGCATTTTCTGAGGCATGTGATGTGTTTGCGACTTGTAACTTGCAACTACAATGTGTACATCTTTCATGCCAGACATTTGTATCATAACACGTGATACTGTCACAAGGATACAAGAGATCTGCTGACCCCTTGATACTATTAGGATCCGTTGACTCCTCTCGATCCTTTTACGAGATTCCTCCTATATAAAGTAGTCTCCCCCAAGTAACGAATCAAGCCATCAACACATCACATAACTATTTATGGCTTAGAAGACCTTCAACACATCACATAACTCTCACCAGCTCAAAAGTCCACTGCCACACACACTCTCTCTCTCTCTTCTAAGAGTGCCTCAACTCTCTCCTCCAGCTTCGATGATCTTGTGTCAGCTAAACACCTACCATCTTTCCAGATCTTGTTCAAGCCACCTCGGACACCATCACTCACATTACACTCCACTTGGATAGAGTGATACTCGCTTTGCATGACATTTCATGGAAAAACAATCTTCTCCAAGTCTCTTCGACATTCGGACTATAGCTCCCTCATTTCATACTTCACTATCCACAAGTGTCCACTTGGTCTTCTCTTCAAGGCCGTCAATAAAATTTTAATATTTATTTTCTACACCAATTATAATTAATAGATTTTTTGACATAAGGATGCTATGTATAAACTACATGGATTTCACCACTTTTTTCATCTCTTTACATGAATCTACACAACAAATGCCATATCTACATAAAAAAGCTATCATATCCACAAAATATGATGTGCCCCGTTATCCTTTAAATACGATGAACCCGTACACATATATCACTTGTTATGTGAATCCACATGAATTGTGAAAAAAAGATATCAGTAATATTCATTTGGTCACATGTTATTTTTCTTTTTCTTGCCAATCAGAGACTCTTCATTTCCCTGTCCACTCTCGCTCTTCATTTTCTTCTCACGCGTGCACTCAAGTTGGGAGTGCAAATATATAGATGAAAAAAATAATCTTATGTCACCGGACCGGATAATAAACATCACATGTATTTTTCACCTCCATAGAACGAAATATACTAGTATATACATTAGTGATTATCCATTTAAAAAACACAAGCACACAAATCTAACATAGGTCCATACTTGCTATTAGCTCCATCCATAAGGTCAAAATTTCAACAACACAGCAAGCAATAATCTCAACAATATAGCTCAGAAGTACCACAAACAAGTTGCAGCAACAGATTACATCAGTTAAAAACACTCAGACACCTAAAGATGATGACAAACATTAATGTGAGAAATATATAGTAGAGTTTTGGATCATGTATGATTGTGACTTAATATGCATTTCAGCAGACGACTAAAAAAAACCTGGAGTTCGAGTTTTGTCGCACATTACCCAATGGAATGGCAGCATAGCTATTCAGATAGGGTAGATTTGAGCTCGCCGTTGTTGTGCATCTCCATTACAATGTCACAACCTCCTATCAACTCACCTTTGTAGTAAAGCTGTGGAAAGGTTGGCCAGTTTGAGAAGGTCTTTAGCCCCTGCCTCACTTCCTCATTAGTCAGTATATCAAAGGACCCGAAAGTCACACCCTCATTTCTTAGGGCATCCACTACTTTGGAGCTGAAACCACATTTTGGGCCGTCTGGGGTGCCCTTCATGAAAAGCATCACTGGCGAAGAATTAATCAATTTCTTCAGACGGTCCTCAAGAGTTTCCTTCTGAGAAATCCCTTTCTCGGCTAAGACCTTCTTAAGTTCCCCACTCCTTTGCATCTCCAACACGATGTCTGATCCACCAATTAGTTCACCACTTATGTAGAGTTGAGGATAGCTTGACCAATTCGAGTAAACTTTGAGACCTTGTCGAACTTCATCATCAGTAAGAATGTCAACACTCTTAAAATCCACTTTTTCTTGTTGAAGAATTTCAACTACCTTCCGGCTGAATCTGCATTGGGGTTCATCTGGTTTTCCCTTCATAAATAGCATGACTGGGCTTGAATTGATCAGACTTTCGAGTCGAGAGGTCAGGGTTGCACTCAAGCCAGTGGATTCAGAGATGCCACCCTTACCACCAACATTTTTGGTCACTTTTGCCTCGTTAGAATCATAGATCTCAACACCGTGATCTCTGAAAACTTCTTTTAGTTCACCATTATCATGCATAGCAATTACTATGTCACACCCACCGAGGAGCTCTCCCTTGCAGTAGAGCTGAGGAAATGTTGGCCAGTTGGAGAACTTCTTCAACCCCTCACGAACCTCATTGTCTGTCAGGATATCGAAGGTTCCAAATTGGACCTTCTCTTCCTTTAAAATGTCAATAACTTTTCGGCTAAAACCACACTTGGGCTCTTCAGGACTGCCTTTCATGAAGAGCATGATGGCATGAGAGTCAACAAGTTTCTGGAGTTGCTTTTTCAATCCATCACGAAGTCCAGATGCCAATTGGCTTTCCACCTGAGATGAGCCATTTTCTTTAGCCAAATCCTTGACTGTTTCCAGGATCATGGGTCCTGCAGCCATCCCCAGGCTGGCAGGAGCTGCAGGTTCCCCTAGGGTGATTGACCCTGCAACTTTGGCAACTTTGTTGGCCAAACTAGACGGATCTGCACCCTCTAAAGTATCAACAGCTTTACCATCCTAACAAAAGAAAAAAAGTATATTTGAAGACATGACAGGATTTATAGTGGGAAGAAAATCTTGGGGAAAAAGGAGACAGGAATTCACCCATAACAAACAAGTTCAGAATTCAAATTCAGAGTATTTATATTTATACAAGCAAATATGACGGACTTACGGCAAAGAGTTAGTAAGACAGTAAGCATCCAAAGTTTCCCAAGTTATTGGTTTTTTCAAGGGAAAGGTAAGATTTAACTTATCCATATTGTTCCAGAAAAAAATGCAGATTTGCCAAGCAAATCAGAGCTTCTCATCAACAATAGCTGATCTTTCTTTTTCATTTTTATTTTGGTAGCTAAATTCTTTGAGCCTTTAATTACATATAGAAATTATAAGCTTTTGATTCTACTATTAAAATTTAGGAAAAAATCACTTTGGCCCCCTCAAACTATCACACTTGTGTCATGTTACTCCTTGATCACACTTTACCCCCAAACCGTTAATAAGGTTAATCTTTTTGACGGATTATCACACTCGATGGCACACCGTGATTAATTGAGGGTATTGATTCACACTGGCATCTGGACTTAGTGATTAATTGAGAGACAAATATCCAAATACCATATAACAAAACACAACCAATTGTTTGGAAAACATTCAATAAAACACAAAATAAAACCAATTGTAGCAAACTATGAAGCATGGACACGGACACGGACACGGACACGGACATGAGATACGGCAATTTCCAAAAAATGGGGACACAGACACAGCGGGGGACACATGGAGTTTTATTTTGTACATTTTTATGTGTTATGTAGATCCATATTACATTCATCCTAAATCAAAATTAACAAACACTAACATAGTAACATTAATTCAATAAATATAACCACTGCATTTAAACAAATTAATAGATCATCTCATAATAAACTATAACAAGAACTAAGACGAGAAGGGGAAAACATTCAACATCCGACAATATTTTTCACAAAAGCATTAAATAAGAGAGGCAAAAAAAACAAAAGAGCCCCGCCGTGTCCCATGACGTGTTCCCAAATGTACACGTGTGTCCCCAAATGTACACGCGTGTCCTGACTGTGTCCCCTACAAAAAAATCATTAAATTAAAGGGACACGTCATCTGGCGTGTCCCGTACGTGTCCTCGGCGTGTCCACGTGTTGGACACCGCCACGACACCAATTTTGGAGTGTCCATACTTCATAGGTAGCAAATCACTTTCTCTAACTATAGCAAAATTAAACAAATCGTGTGTACAAATACTTGTGTGTTCCAACAAGTGTGATATTCAATAAAATATTAACTTCATTGACAGTTTGGGGTAAAGTGAACTATTGTCAATAGTTTAAGGGAGTAATTGTTCAAATTGGTAGTTCAGGGGACAAAATGACGCAAGTGTGATAGTTTGAGGGCGAAAAATGAATTTTTCCCTAAAATTTAAAAACACTGTTCTTGCTTTGGAAATCAAACATGCACATCCACCACAGGAGCAGCAGAAACCTGCACGAGAAGAGATGTTTTATTTATTTATTTATTTATTTACATGTTGCTTGAGAAGAGATCTTAAGAACTATTACAATATGGTCATTTCTTTCAACCCACTGCCCAAAGGGAAGATGGAACAACCATCCACATCTTGATATTCTTAATCCATCATACTAACTATAAAAGAAAATATAATTCTTATTCAATCACTTTTCAGAAGCTAGATAAGTATAACGATTTCCTCACCGATTTCCTTGTTCCAAATGAACTTCGCATGAAACAAATAAAAACTTACAAAGGAAAGAAAGAAAAGAAACTGATCAAAAAAACAAAAAATTGCCCATTAAACTTACCTTGCAGAAAACAAAAAATGGCACAGCAGAAACCGAATAAGTCTCAGAGATCTCAGGTTGTTCTTCAGCTTCAACCTACAATATACAGACAAAGCAAAATGTAAAAAGAGAATAGCATCAATCAACCACAGTATAAATGATACCATATAACAAGAGAAATGTTGCAGACATGTGACTGATTCATATATATAAGAGAAGAAGAAACATTTCAAAACTATGCCAACTAAGTTTCCAAACCATAAGATATAAACAAGACATCATGCACATAAGAAAATCATTTAACCATCCCAGAGAATCTTCTCATCCTTCATTTTAATATTTTCTTGCCGATTGGAACATCTCAGGGAGTGATACTACCCGTTGAAGACGAGCCATCAAAAAAAAAAAAACAAAATATGAAGATTCGAGGTCAAACAAAAACGAGGTGCCAGTTCAAAGTGAATGTTATGGTGTGTGATTAATTTTTTTTACAAAAATGGAAACAACAAGTTTAAGCACATCAAAACTAGGAAACATGGAAAGTAGACAGTAGACTAAACTAACTGGCCATTGTACACAAAATTAAGCTGCTAAACTTTGAATCTGTGACATTTTCAACATAAAACCAAGCCAGTGAAGATTCTAGTCTACTAATTCATATATTTCCATATCAATAGCTACAACATCCACAGTTCTGGTGCACTGTTTAATGAAATACCAATTAAAAAAAGAAGAAGAAGGTAATCACAGACTCATAGAACTACAGCAAAGAAAAAGCTGCATGATTCTATGTGGTAAAATATAAAGTTTTAAGCAAACCTCCATTTCAGAAATTAAATAAAAAGAAGGGAAATTTGTTATAGCAAACCTTTCCTTCTTTTTTATCCTCTTCTTATACTTCAAATTAATGGGCTTTTTTGGTTTGTATCTCAAGATAAATGTTTCTTATGATTCTCTCCTTGTTTTCCCTGCCCTGTTGAATGCATTGGACCACCTCAAAAACAAGTTGCACTTAAGTTGTAGGTAGTGTGGCCTCAAGGGTTTAGTATTTATCTTGTGCAAGTCTTCACAGAAGACAATACAGACCTTTGTTTCATTTCAATTAAAACAAATATGCCACAAAGAATATTGCTCCTAACATTGGGCCAGACTCACTTTAATTGCCTTCACCAATGCCAACATATTTGACACAGCTAACTAGAACCAAAATAGAATCAATCCATACCTCAACAACGTAGCACCCGAAGCATTAACCTTTGCAATAACTAATTGACGGGACTACTTCTTGCTAAGCTTTAAATGAATAACAATTTAAAATCGTCATGTCTCAAATACATTCGAACAAGATTGTTTTTTTCTATAAGCCAATAACATCAAAGGTCCTTCAACACAATAAATAACTTCAGCATTAGATTTCTCAATCTCTAGGCAACTCTCCTTTGAACATATGTTACATTAATCTTGCCAGTGTTAGGCAATGTAACCAGTGCATTAGACCTTCCAGTTGTCTCCATAAACCACTTAGAAAGAATTCTTACAATTGGACAAATTTTTATGTACACAACAATTTCCTTCTCATATTTAAATATATTCCACTTTGTATGTCTAATGCTGATAAAAATTGGCTTTTATCCAAGAACTTCATTAATGCTATAAAAACAACAATCATGATATAACTCAAAATAGTTGTACTAAAATTTGCCCATGTTGAGAGTCTTGTAAACTAGAGGTACCCTTACTTAAATGAAGATAACCTAAAAAGCATGGACATGCGAACATGCAATTTTTGAGGACACGTGCAAAGCATATAATTTTATAGATTTATTACATTTTGTAATTTTAAATATTTAATATTTATTTTATGTCAAAAAATTAATTTTATCAAAAATTTTAACCTTAAGTATGCTATTTTAGTATAAAAAATAAAAATAAATAAATAAAACTAAAAACATCAATTTTTTTCAAAAAATGGTCCTTAGAGTGTCCACAGCGTGTTCGACTCCATCCGGCATGTCCGACAAGTGTTTGGAGTGTGTTCATGTCCGACATGTGTCGGACACCTGTACGTGACCTCTAGAGAGAGATGTCGATGCTTCATAGAAGATAACATTAGTGCCATCAAACACATAAATTGGCAGTGATCATCAGGGTAGGTTTGAATTGTTGTTCTTCATCCTTAACTTAATCATAGGAGGTAAAAATTTGTGCATGTGATTAAAAATTCGGGAAAGTTGGTGAATTACCAATCACCAGTGACTGTTAACTTCTTTATAAAGAATTTATTTTTGCCAAGTCAAGTTTTGAAAAAATGCCAAGAACTTTCAAAGAAACATAAATAGATAAATAAATAAAAATGAGTACAAAAAAGCCCCACAGTAGAAATATATATCGAAAGAATGGCATTCCTTCACTTACGTGGAAAATCAGGGAAAACCCTAAACCTCAAATAATTTCCATGGGAAAACTATTTAATGGTTTCACTAAATCCCATCTGTTTTTATAGTCATCCCTGTGATAACTAAGCCCTTAACGCTCCGTTTGTTTAGTCGAAATTTTTTTTTTGAAAAATACTTCATATTTTTTAGCATTTGGTACAATCGAAAACGAAGTCAATAAAAAATATTTTTTATAGTAAACGGAAAACAAGGCCATTTGAGTAAAAAATGTTTTACATTTTTAAAAGACGAAAAATATTTTCTCGACTAAAATACCAATGCCCCCAAACTACCACCACCACTATCACCTCTACCACCACACTGCCATCACCGCAGCCACCACCACCATCACCATTTCCATTACCACAACCACCTCCGCCTCCAACTTCACCCCACTACCACCACCAAAACATATTCTCGACAAAAAAATTCCTAAACAATATTTTTCATCCAAACAAACGGGGCGTAATTTGTAAAGTAAAAACCAAAAACAACCTACTTTGGGAGAAAATGTTAAAACAGCTGGCTAAACCCTAGTTAATCAGAATGATCACTAGTAAACTACATCTGATTATTGCAGTAATCGATTAAATTCGCTATACTATCGAAAAACAAACGGAATCAACAAATTACACAGTTAAATTACTAGGAAAAAAAAAATCATTAGGGTTTTATGAAGCGCATAGAACAAAGCTCAATCAATGACAACTCTTGTAGATACACAAAATGTATCATATCACAGAAATCAATCATTATATGTATAGATATAGTGAGAGAGAGTGAGTGAGAGAGAGAGAGAGAGTACACGGAGGAAGTGGGAGAGGGGAAAATCGGTGGATAGATGAGAGAAGACTTGGTCCATCTGCTTGGAAGCATCGCACCAAGAGGCCCAGAAGTGAAGGATAACAGGTGAGCCATCGCCGATCACGCTATCAAGCTCCTTCTTTGACTGTACATCTTTCACAGACCCACCCATGATTCTCTCTCTCTCTCTCTCTTCCTCAATTCAATTCAAGCAAAGAAAATCAGAGAAAGCTCGAAATGGGAAAGATAACGAGTTGCGTAGACAGAGATGGCGGGGTTTGTGACGGAGGAGAGAGGGGAGAGAGGGACGTGTTTGGAGTCTTTGGAAATTGGGTTGATGAGTTGCTTCCCTAAAAGCCCAATAAGCTCTTAGCAAAGCCTCGTCAAAAGCCCATAACTCGTGGGCCAAAATAGCCCATCCGGCTTTATCCTGGCCCTCAAATATATGACTTGGGTATGGGTCAAAGTTGACAAGTGGGTGTGCCCATAAGAGGCCCAATGGCCTTTTTGGAGCCCGGAAAGCCTGTGGTACTGTTTGGCTTAGTTTTTTAAAAGAATTTTGAGTTTTAAGTTTTCAATTATATGTTGAAAGATAAGTTGTTGAAAAAAGTTTTGAAATTGAAAATTTATTTTGTTATGAATTTTGAAATGATTTGTAACTTTTTTTTTTTTTTGGTAGTTGAATAGATTGGTATGAAAAAATTTAATTGATTAATGTGTAGAATGTGAGAAAATGAGAGATAAGAGAGAAAAAGTAATTGATTGATTTATTAATAAATTAAAAAAAAAAGAGCAAAGAGGAGAGAGAAAAAATAATTTTAAAAAGAATTTTGAAAATTTGTTAGCCAAACATATTTTTGATTTTTTTGATCTAAATGTTAATTTAAAAACTAAACTAAACGTTGCCTCTATTTTTATTTTTTTTTTCTTATTTCTTTTCTCTCCCTATTTTTTTTTAAGTCTTGTTTGGGAATTGATTTTTTTAGTAAGCTATTCAATTTTTTGACAAAACATGAGATGAAAAAAGTTAAATGTATTTGATAATGACTTTTCTTCATTGTATCAAAAATTATAAATTAATAAGATGTTTTAACTTTTTTTCAATGCCAGAAAACTAGGTTGCCAAGCCAACATATGCATTTTTAGTAAGACAACAAATTAAAAAAATGAGTAGCATATCAAATATAAAATTAATAATTATATTTTCACGAAATTAGAGATACATAAAATTTATAGCATAATAGATGTATTAGCGTAATTTTGTATTTCAATACATAATGAAATTATCATATTTAATTTAATAAAAAAAAATTAAAAAAATACATTATAAATGAAATTATCATTTACCATGGTAAGAGAAATGATCATTCTATAGAGAATCATAAAGAATGACCATTCATTTTATCTCGTTCTAGTGAAACAAAGTATTAGGCCATGTTTGTTTACTGGTTTGAAAAGGGGATTGAATTACTAATTTGTAGGCCTGATCAAAAGCATATTTGGTTGAAACAAAAATATGAAATTAAAAAAGTCCCATGGGACCATCGGGAATGGATCATCAAAAGCATATTAGGTTGAAAATTTGTTAACCAAATGTGTTTTTGATTTTTTGATTCAAATGTTAATTTAAAAATTAAACCAAAGGTTACTTGTATTTTTTCTTCCTTGCTTTCTTTTCTCTCTATTTTTTTTTATTTATTATTATTTTTTTTAAGATCTTGTTTGGAAGTTGACTTTTTTTGTGAGCTTTTTAATTTTTTTTTGACAAAACATGAGGTGAAAAAAGTTAAAATGTGTTTAAGAATGACTGTTCTTCATTGTATCAAAAATTATAAATTAATAAGACGTTTTGACTTTTTTTAGTTCCAAAAAGCTAAGTTGCCAAACAAAATATTAGGTTGCGTTTGGTAGAGTTTTGCAAATATGATTTGAAAGTATAAGTTGTATTTTGAGTTTGTGAATTATGGAATTATGATTTGAGTGTAGAAAATTTATTTGGTTATGATTTTTTAATAGAGTGTTGAATTGTGTTTTGAATTGTTTGTGAAATTAAGTTTTGAGAGTTTGATGTGACATGTGAAATAAGAAAATTTATTTGGTGATGAGTTTTCAAAATAGTTTTTAAAACTTAATTCAACTTTTAATTGATAATCAAACACACAACTCATATATCGATATCCGTATTTTTGATCAACAGTCATAACCAAACTATTTTTAAAATACTAAAATTAAAAAATGATTTTTTTTTTCAATTAATTGTTTTTAAGTAATTTTCTTGAATAGTTTTTTTTTTCAAATAATTTTTTTTTTAAAAAATAACTTCTATGTCAATTGTTTTGTGTCAATTAATTTTTCTGTGAATTCATTTTTTAAACCTGTATAAACATTTTGTACAATACGTTTTTAATTTTTTTCAAAAATTTTGTTGAAGTCAACTTTGGAGAATACATATTGATAACAATTAACATAAATCAGTGTGTTTAATATTTTTAAATACAAATCAAAACGTAAACATTACCAAACATTTTCATTACTTTTTCATTTATTACATTTTATTAATTTAATAAAAAAACTCGTTTCTTTTTGTTGGTGTATATTATTGTATTTTGAATGTCACCCACCCGTGAAGTGAAGGTCATATAATTGGGGGGGAGTGATATTTGTGTATGAAATGATCAATTCGCCCATCTTGATTTGAATGGCAGGTTGTTATGTAAAAACAAAATAAAAAGGATAACATTGTAATTTCACTTATCCAATACACCTACCCCTCCTATCCTTGGTGTCTGTTCATCACTGTGGAATAAAAGAAAAGAAAGACGATGCCAAAAACCTGCACACATGGTTAGTAATCAGTATACGGACGCAATTAAAAATAAGGAAGGAAAATAAAAAATAAAAAAAAATCAGTAAGAAATGAAAAGTAAATAAGAGAACCTTCTGAACCTTAGCTTCTATATAAGATCTGAGTCTGCACCATCTTCACCATCTCATTCCAACACCTTCAGCAGCTCCATCACACTATAATATTAACTACATTCAGTGTATATATCCGTGTGAAGGAAGAGAGAAGAGGTTAGTTTGAAGCACAATTCATATTCTTGATAGCTTCAGAGCTGAGTTACAGGGAAGCAAATTGCAGGCGAAGAACAGCCACCAGGGACAGCCGGCCGATCATCCAGCCGATCAACCGATTCAGCCACCACTTCGCCCTCCGCACCCAGTTTCGCTATCTGTTGCCTATCTGTTCCTTTTTTCGCACCAACATCATATATTTTCATACATTTTTCTTAACTTCACACCAACATCATACATTTTCATACATTTTTCTTAACTTCACACCAACATCATACATTTTACTATACATTTTTGACACATTTTTCTTAACTTTTGCATACATTTTTCTTAACTTTTGCAGTCATCATGCCGAGAACAAAAATAGCGAAAACCTAAACGTGGCGAAACCTCTAACCCTGTACAACGTGAACCACAGGAACAATAACATCATGACTACAACTGATGATTTTCTCACATATAATCATGAGCAAGCCTATTCAAATTTCGCTAATTGACCAATTGTTACGGGGAGAAAGGTAAATCTACCTTCTCAATATAATCCATTGTTGCGTGGCAGATTGGATACAATGTGATGGTTACCTTTAACTAATTTACCACATAAGGTATATCCCCATCTTGTACATTTATTTTACGTTCACTTGACATCTACTGAGCAACAAGTGGAACCGTTTAGTCCGACCTCTTATGTGAAAGGGAAAGTAATCACACTCAATCCCCGCATTTTCGCACAAATTATTGGAGTTGAAACAGGAGATTTGCAATGCTATTTTCAAACTAAGGCTCAGTTAGCTAACATTGTTGATGACTTAATTGAGGTTTATACCATAATTTGTGAGAGCTGATTCACCAGCACTAATTTACAAGCCAGACATTTAAAACCCCACTTTCGTATTCTTCATCGATGGATAGTTGAAAATGTCACTCCCAAAAGATTACAAAAGATTACAACAAAATAACAAAATAAAATAATCACAGCAAAATGAGAAAATAAAATAACCACAACAAAATAAGAAAACAAAATGTAACCATAGCATGTGTGAATTTTTTAAACGCTCATCGAAACAAGTTAAGCATCATTGTCAGGTGGTGGTAGAGGTGGAGGGAAATAGTGATGGTATACCTGAGTGACTCGATGGTCAATCTGATCAATGCGGTTCCTTGTCACTTCATCACGTCTCCTTGAGTCTACACGAAACTCACCAAATTGTTGAATCAGTGAGTTCTAAGCAGTAGCAAATTCATCGAACCAAGTACCCAATGTATTGACCTGATTAGCCATTTGTTGTTCCTATTGTAGGCGCTGATTGTACCGTTCTTGTTCCAGCGCTAAATAATCAGTCCAGTATTGGGGTTGTTCATTTGGTGACATGGCATTGTCATTGGGTTTTTCCTCATTAGGTATTGGTTCATTTTCAAAATTAATAGAGCCTAGTAAGTTGTCAGCACCACCAGCTTGGGTCAGCGTGTACTCAGAAATTGGTGAAGTGATTCTCTCATCTACTTCACCTTCAAGGTTGACATGATGCGCTTTGAAAATTTTGGTTAACAAAGCTCCAAAAGGTAGTGACCGGCCACTTAGAGTACCAAGTTTTGCAACCATCATTTCTTTCAGTAATATGAAGCATAAATCTAATTTTTGTCCAATGCAAAACAATATAACAAATAAAAATTAAAAAATGGAACAACATCAAAATTTCCTTTTTTTGGGAGTGACATTTTCAACTATCCATCGATGAAAAATACGAAGGTAGGGTTTTAAATGTCTGGCTTGTAAATTAGTGCCGGTGAATCGACTCTCACAAATTGTGGTATAAACCTCAGTTTGAAAATAGCATTGCAAATCTCCTGTTTCAACTTCAATAATTTGTGTAAAAGTGCAGGGGTTGAGTGTGATTACTTTTCCCTTCACATAAGAGGTCAGATTGAACGGTTCCACTTGTTGCTCAGCAAATGTCAAGTGAACGTAAAATAAATGTACAAGACGGGGATATATCTTATGTGGTAAATTAGTTAAAGGTAACCATCCCATTGTATCTAATCTGCCAAGCAACAGTGGATTATATTGAGAAAGTAGATTTACTTTTCTCCCCATAACAATTGGTCGATTAGCGAAATTTGAATAGACTTGTTCATGATTATATGTGAGAAAATCATCAGTTGGATAGTCATGATGTTATTGCTGTGGTTCACGTTGTACAGGGTTAGAGGTTTCGCCACGCTCGGGTCTCGCTCTTTTTGTTCTCGGCATGATGATTGCAAAAGTTAAGAAAAATGTATGCAAAAGTTAAGAAAAATGTATGAAAAATGTATAGTAAAATGTATGATACTGGTGTGAAGTTAAGAAAAATGTATGAAAATGTATGATGTTGGTGCGAAAAAAGGAACAGATACGCAACAGATAGCGAAACTGGGTGCGGAAGGCGAAGTGGTGGTTGAACCGGATGACCGGCAGGGTGACCAGCCGGTTGTCCCTGGTGGCTGTTCTTCGCCTGAAATTCGCTTCCCTGCAACTCAGCTCTGAAGCTATCAAGAATATGGACTGTGCTTCAAACTAACCTCTTCTCTCTCCCTTCACACGGATATGTACACTGAATGTAGTTAATATTATAGTGTGATGGAGCTGCTGAAGTGTTGGAATGAGATGGTGAAGATGGTGTGTTGGAATGAGGTGGTGAAGCTGGTGTAGACTCAGATCTTATATAGAGGCTAAGGTTCAGAAGGTTCAGAAGGTCTAGAAGGTTTTTTTTTTTTTCTTATTTACTTTTCATTTCTTACTGATTTTTTTTATTTTTTTTATTTTCCTTACTTATTTTTAATTGCGTTCGTATACTGATTGCTAACCATGTGTGCAGGTTTTTGGCATCGTCTTTCTTTTCTTTTATTCCACAGTGATGAACAGACATCTAGGATAGGAGGGGTAGGTGTATTGGATAAGTGAAATTACAATATTATCCTTTTTATTTTGTTCTTACATAACAACCTACAATTCAAATCAAGACGGGCGAATTGGTCATTTCATACACAAATATCACTCCCCCCTAATTATATGACCTTCACTTCACGGGTGAGTGACATTCAAAGTACAATAATACACCAACAAAAAGAAACGAGTTTTTTTTATTAAATTAATAAAATGTAATAAATGAAAAAGTAATGAAAATGTTTGGTAACGTTTACGTTTTGATTTGTATTTAAAAATATTAAACACACTGATTTATGTTAATTGTTATCAATATGTATTCTCCAAAGTTGTTGACTTTAACAAAATTTTTGAAAAAAATTAAAAACGTATTGTACAAAATGTTTGTACAGGCTTAAAAAATGAATTCACAGAAAAATTAATTGACACAAAATAATTGACATAGAAGTTATTTTAAAAAAAATTATTTGAAAATAAAATTATTCAAAAAAATTATTTAAAAACAATTAATTAAAAAAAAATTATTTTTTAATTTGAGTATTTTAAAAATAGTTTGGTTATGACTGTTGATCAAAAATACGAATATCGATATATGAGTTGTGTGTTTGATTATCAATTAAATATTGAATTAAGTTTTGAAAACTGTTTGTAAGCTATTTTGAAAACTCATCACCAAACAAATTTTCTTATTTCACATGTCACATCAAACTCTCAAAATTCAATTCCACATACAATTCAAAACACAATTCAACACTCTATTCAAAAACCATAACCAAACAAATTTTCTATACTCAAATCATAATTCCACAACTCACAAACTCAAAATACAACTCATACTCTCAAATCATATTTACAAAACTCTACCAAACGCAACCTAAGGCTCTGTTTGGTTGTGTTTTGAAATTACATTTCTGCCCTATCACTCCCGTTTTACGTTTGGATACCACTTTCAAAATAGAATTCTACCATATAATTCAAACTACAATTTGAAAACCCATTTGGCAGCGTTGTGATTCATATCTCCACTTTCAATGTCTTCAGCCTTCTTCCTCTTCCTTTCTGAAAAGCTTCCATGTCCATCGTCTCTAAAAAGGTTCACGTGAACTGATGTACTCATCTTTCTTTCTCTGTATCAAATATCAGGACTGAAGATTCATCACAGGTAGTATTCACAGAGAACTCAAACCATTTTATAAATCATGAATCATGTGAACCCGCTCGCTACTCATACCATCTCCCACAAATCAAGTGACTCATAATTTGTGCGTTGTGAAAGATTCCTTCTACGGGCAACCAAACAACGACGAGTGCGAGGTCAAATAACTTACAAATTTATTTCACATATTTTCTTATAGGTCACTGATTTGAAAAAATCATCCTTAATTTGATTCCCAATTGTTTTTTGTCTTAGGTCAAATTTATCAAACCTATTGTCGAATCAGACGAAGCACATTCAATCACTATACGCACTCCATCACCAGTGATAATTATTCAACTCCCACTAATCTGGTAAATATATCCTTCAATCATCTATTATGTGCAAATGATTTTTGAGAAGTCCAAATGAGTTCTGAAATGATTTCTGAGAAGTCCAAACCAGTATAGAGATAATTTGAGATAGTTTTTGATCTGTCTGAACTCTTTGCACCTTTTGTCTCCTTTATAGCTGAGCCGATCGTCCCCTGGGTTACCTGGCTGATCGTCCCCTGGGTCATCCGGCCGATCGACCTCCCTCTGCCCTCATGTTGCTTATTTCTTTTTCTGCTTATTTCTTCGTGTGGTCTTCTTCTACTGCTTATTTGTGTTTATTTTTTTAGTATGTAAATACGGACAATGTTACGTTGTTTTTATTTTGTCTCTGTTTTGGCCTTCAAATCATCTGTAATTGGTTTTTGCTCTGTTATTTTTTTTTATCCACTCTAGAGTAGTTTGCTCTGTTATTCTTTTATATCCACCCCAGAGTAGTTTAAATATAAATTGTATGTTTATAGATGGATGGAAACAATTCCGATGACAATCAAGATACAAAAATATGGACTTCCAAAATTGAAATAAAATTAATAAACATGTTGCGATAAGAGGTTAAAAAAAATCAAACAACGGGCCATACTACTGTGTGGACAATTAGGCATTGGAATCATTTTGCAAATCAATTTCACAATCTGTAGGGATTTCGGTATACAGCAAAATAGGTGCGACAAAAATATCAACAATTGAAAGCTGATTACCAAACGTTTAAGCAACTCCAGGCACATACTAGTCTAGGATGGGATCCCATTGTAGGCACTGTTGTTCCACCCGATGAATTTTGGGATAAGGTTTTTCATTAACCTGTATCATTTTCAAATTTTATTTTTAACATTTTATCACACATACAGTATTCTTAATTCTATATTCTCAATTGTTGTAGGCTACCAGAAATGTAAAGAAGTTTAGGACAAAAATATTTGAGTATTTCCAACAAATGGCGGAAATTATTGAAAATTGTTGTGCCACAGGGGCCTTGTCTCGTGCATCCACACAAGGAGCCCTTGACTCAGATGAAGAAGATGAAATGCTAAATAAATTTTGGAACCCTGAAGTTGGTGGGAGTAATGCTGCTGAAGCCATTCCTGTTAACTTATTCAGCGATGAGTACATGGATCTAGAGAAGGGCAAAAGTTACAAGAGGGGCCCTACAAGCAGCCAGACTGACAGTGGTCGTTCAAAAAAGTCACGGTCAAGTGGGTTCGATGATGTGTGCACAGCTTTCACATCCTACGTACAGGCAAAAACAGAACATTCACATACACGAGAAAATGAGACAGAGGCTGTAAGTGCAGGTAGTGATAAGTATTCCCTTGATGCATGTCAAGATGCATTGCTAGAGCTTGGGGACATACAACCGGTGTAGTATGTTAAGGCACTGACACTGTTTAAAGACAAGGAATGGCGAAGGTTTTTTATGCGTACTCCTACCCATATGCGCCTAGCTATGATTCTCGTTTTGCAGTGAAGTGAGAAGTTGTGTTTTGATTGTGTTAGCGAATCTCTTTGTCGTTCTGCAAGATGGTTTCATGATTTCTAATTTGTTTTTTATCATTTTTTTTTTCATTCCTTGAGATGCTCTTTCTTTTCCATCTTCGTATGTTTAATTTTATTGAACTTTTAAGTACTTTCTGTTTTATTAAAAATATGTTGTGTTATTACAAGATGACTACATATTAAACAAATTTTCTTCTCGTATACATTTTAGTGGATGCTGGTGAATGACTAAGGCCGACTATTTATGTAGCCACTTTTTAATTCAGTTTCACCAATAATGGTAAGCATTACAATATTGTCAAATATTATTTTATAATTATGCTTTTACTGTGATGTAGACGAAACCATATGTCATCCGACACAGAAAATAATGCAATAGAGATCTCATCAGAGGAGGATGAGGTTATTGAAGATTTTATGGATTTCTTGATGATTGCTTTCATGCGTGACCATATCAACTCGTCAAGTAGTCGCTGACTGCAGCGAACTTGTCCATTCAAAAGTGATGATTACATCTTCAGCTTATTAAATGGACATCCAGAAACAATAATGGACATTATGTGAATGGATGTACAAACATTCATTTTATTGAAAGACACCTTACTCCAAAATGGTTTTATCGATACTGAACATATGCATATCAGTGTGGAGGAATCGCTTGGAATTTTTTTATACACTTTTGCACAAAATGATCGCCATCGACTACTGGCAGATAGATTTCAACACTCCACGGAAACAATTTGTCAGCACATAAAAATTGTTATGCGGGCATTGTGCAAGCTTACATCAACGGTTATCAAACCACGTAACCAAGACGAGATACTGGAAAAATTTTTAAATGACAGGAGGTTTTTTCCCTGGTTCAAGGTATGGATTTAATGATTGTCCTGTAAGTTCTACATAACAATAAGGGACGTTATTTTTTTTTCTTCCTATTATAAAAGTAATATCCAAGTTTGTTTCGCTTTTAATGTCAAACAAATATCTTTCAATTAGGATTGTGTCGGTGCTATCGATGGCACATCGGTGGATGCATGGGTCCCTGCTTCAAGACAAAATACATTCCGCGGTCGCAAATCTACGGTATCGCAAAATGTACTTGCAGCTTGCGACTTCGACATGTTGTTCATATTTATTAATTATGGATGAGAAGGTAGCGCACATGACAACGCTATTTTAGTTGACTCTATAACAAGAGCTGATCTACAGTTCCCATACCCACCCAATGGTGAGTGTCACGAAACAACATATGGTACACTTTTTGAAATTATTTTTTTGTACATATGTTTGACGGAACAGTGTATTCATTATTTATATGTAGGCAAGTATTATTTAGTGGATGTTGGTTTCACGAACATGCCTGGATTTCTTACCCCATCTCATTCCCAACGCTATCACTTGCAAGAGTTTCATGGCTGTCATTATTCAGGACCCAAGGAATTGTTTAACCATCAACATTCGTTGTTACACAATGTTATAGAAAGAACATTTGGTGTTCTGAAGAAACGATATCCAATATTGCGGTCTATGCCAAATTACAAGTCTACAAGACAAGGCCCTCTCGTGATTGCATGTTGTGTAGTGCACAATTGGATCCGTTTGCATGCAGTAATGGTGGAAGCTGATAATGAAATAGCGGCAGAAGCGGAAGCAGACGGGCTTGTTGGAGACCAATCTGACTATGTCAACATGTCACAACATGAGTTGACGTACCAATCTAACTTTAGGGATGCAATTGCTACTGCTATGTGGCAAAATCATGTTGGTCATGGCTAGATTTGTGATGTGAACAAGGCAAGTGAATATCGTAGTGACTAATGGTTTTAAATGTATAATTATTTTACTAGTTTCAATTATTATGACACCTTTATTACATAACTTCACCCACTTTACGTAATTGTGAATTTAATGACTTCTTTCCTCTCTTTGTAGGATAACTAACAATGAGGATAACGATTGGGCTAAATGGCAATTAAAGGAAAGGAAACACAAAGATCATCACATGGTCAATCAACAAAATGTTATTACGTTAATGAAGACATTTAAATATGTTGTTGATACAATGTATAATATGCAGGGTCAAACACTTTATTGAATTTGATGGTTGAATGATGCATGCAGAGATTATAGTTTATGATATTCATTCAGTTTATGATATTCGTTAACTTTTTATTAATAAAAAATTGTTGGCCATGGATAGATTTGTTATTAATTTTAATTTTTTTATTAATTTGTATACGACATTTTTTATTACTTTATATTTTTTATTTTATTGAAATTTTGGCTTTTTTATTAATTTAAATGTCTTTTTATTAATTGTTTTTTTTTCATGTTATTAATATAACAGTTTTGTTAGTAATTGTTATACCAAAAAAGTTTTCATTAATTTTTTTTATTTTAATTAAATAAAATATATAATTACTACTTTTTAACTTTTTTTATTTCATTTTAGCCGAATTTTTTTCTTAATTTGTTTTTTTTCATTTCATTAAAATAATGGTTTTGTTATTAATTTAAATTTTTAAAAATTAATTTGTAGACGACATATTTTAGTTAATTTACTTTTCTCATTTTAAAACAATTTGAAGGCTATGTTACTAATTTTTATTTAATTTTATTAATTATTTTTTTGTTTATGTTAACATAATGGTTTTGTTATTTTCATTTATTATACAAAACAAGTTTTTATTAATTCTTTTTTGGGATGTCCTAAATAAGTCAACTTTTTCACTTTCTGGACTGAAAAGTTGAGAAAAAAAAGATGGTTATTTGAAATAATTTTTTGACTTTTTACAAAAAAAATGTGTATTAAAAAATTGTATAAATTACTGTATAGGAGAAGATTGGATAGAATAGGTTGTACGGTGGGCTGAATGCAGTGATAGCGTTGGTAGAGTAGAGGCTGTGAGATGTTTCCCTGCTATTCGGGTATTGAATTGGAGGTGATGTTCGGCCCGTGGGGACCCACTGTGGGTCCCGTTTTGCTAATCAAAACCGTCAAATGTGTAGAACTCGTGGAATACTATCTTCTGATAAAAAATCACGTTGATCGGATATCGATAGCTATTTGATTGGATTAGTTTGTTTCAACCGTTAACTATAACACCATCATTTTATAAATTTAAACTGATTTGATCATATAGTTTCCAATATCTGATCAGGATGATTTTCCACAGGCATATAGTACTCTACAATTTTTACACATTGTACGGTTCAGATTATTTAAACGGGATCCATGATGGGTCCCCACAGACTGAACAACACTGAGTTATTAGTGCACATAAATAGAAGTTCGTTTCCAAAAAGTGAGGTATGCCTGTCCCACATCAGAGTTGTTTGAACATTTTTTTTTTGTTTTCTACTGCTATTTATTTAATATTTTTTTCAACTATCCATCGATGAAGAATACGAATGTGGGGTTTTAAATGTCTGGTTTGTAAATTAGTGCTGGTGAATTGGCTCTCAAAAATTGTGGTATAAACTTTAGTTAGATCATCAACAATGCTAGCTAACTGAGCCTTAGTTTGAAAATAACATTGCAAATCTTCTATTTCAACTCCAATAATTTGTGCGAAAGTGCAGGGGTTAAGTGTGATTACTTTCCTCTTCATATAAGAGGTCAGACTGAACGGTTCCACTTGTTGCTCAACAGATGTCAAGTGAACGTAAAATAAATGTACAAGACAGGGATATACCTCATGTGGTAAATTAGTTAAAGGTAACCATCCCATTGTATCAAATCTGCCAAGCAATAGTAGATTATATTGAGAAGGTAGATTTACCTTTCTCCTCGTAACAATTGGTCGATTAGAGAAATTTGAATAGACTTGTTCATGATTATATGTGAGAAAATCATCAATTGGATAGTCATGATGTTGTTGCTGTGGTTCACGTTGTACAGGGTTAGAGGTTTCGCCACGTTCGGGTCTCGCTCTTTTTGTTTTCAGCATGATGACTGCAAAAGTTAAGAAAAATGTAAGCAAAAGTTAAGAAAAATGTATAGTAAAATGTATGATGTTGGTGTGAAGTTAAGAAAAATGTATGATGTTGGTGCGAAAAAAGGAATAGAAACGCAACAGATAACGAAACTGGATGCGGAAGGCGAAGTGGTGGCTGAACCGGATGACCGGCGGGATGACCGGCCGGTTGTCCCTGGTGGCTATTCTTCGCCTGCAATTCCCTTCCCTGCAACTCAGCTCTGAAGCTATCAAGAATATGAACTGTGCTTTAAACTAACATCTTCTCTCTTCCTTCATACAGATATGTACACTAAATGTAGTTAATATTATAGTATGATGGAGCTGCTGAAGGTGTTGGAATGAGATGGTGAAGATGGCACAGACTCAAATCTTATATAGAGGTTGAGGTTCGGAATGTCCAGAAGGTTTTTTTTTTTCATCATTTCTTTCTGATTTTTTTTTTATTTTCCTTACTTATTTTTAATTGCATCCGTATACTGATTACTGACCATGTGTGCAGGTTTTTGGCATCGTCTTTCTTTTTCTTTGTTCCACAGTGATGAACAGACACCTAGGATATGAGGGGTAGGTGTATTGGAAAAGTGAAATTATAATATTATCCTTTTCATTTTGTTCTTACATAACAACCTGTCATTCAAATCAAGAGGGGCGAATTGGTCATTTCATACACAAATATCACTCCCCCCCAATTATATGACCTTCACTTCATGAGTGGGTGACATTCAAAATACAATAGTACACCAACAAAAAGAAACGAATTTTTTATTAAATTAATAAAATGTAATAAATGAAAAAGTAATGAAAATGTTTGGTAACGTTTACATTTTGATTTGTATTTAAAAATATTAAACACACTGATTTATGTTAATTGTTATCAATATGTATTCTCCAAAATTGTTGACTTCAACAAAATTTTTGAAAAAAATTAAAAACGTATTGTACAAAATGTTTGTACAGGCCTAAAAAATGAATTTACAGAAAAATTAATTGACACAAAATAATTGACATAGAAGTCATTTTAAAAAAAAAATATTTGAAAAAAAAAATTATTCAAAAAAATTACTTAAAAACAATTAATTGAAAAAAATCATTTTTTAATTTGAGTATTTAAAAATAGTTTGATTATGACTGTTGATAAAAAATACGGATATCGATATATAAATTGTGTGTTTGATTATCAATTAAAGATTAAATTAAGTTTTGAAAATTATTTTGAAAACTCATCACCAAACAAATTTTCTTATTTTACATGTCACATCAAACTCTCAAAACTCAATTCCACATACAATTCAAAACATAATTCAACACTCTATTCAAAAATCATAATCAAACAAATTTTCTACACTCAAGTTATAATTCCACAACTCACAAATTCAAAATACAACTCATACTCTCAAATTATATTTACAAAACTTTACCAAACACAACCTTAATCTTTTTTGTATACATATGTATTTTTAGCAAGACAACAAGATTAAAAAAATGAGTAGCACATCACCTATAAAATTAATATAATTGTGTCTTCACAATATTAAAGATACATAAAATTTATAGCGTAATATGTATTAGTGTATTTTTGTATTTCAATAAATAATGAAATTATCATTTTTAATTTACTAAAAAAATAATAAAAAAAGCATATTATAAATGAAATTACTATTTACCATGATAAGAGAAATGACCTTCCATAAGAACAGTAAATAATGACCATTCATTTTTTTTTTTTTGATCAGCAAAAAGACACTTCATTGATGTAAAGACTAGTACAAGGTACGAAAGAAATTACACCAATAAAGAAAAGAGGAGTGCAGGAGCATCACAATGAGCTAAATGATCCCAACTAGGTTGGCACCAAAAAACCCATCCTATCATTTGCTAGCACCCCAAAGTTGGTGAGAAACCAACGAGAGAGACGGACCAAAAACCAAACCAATGCTGCAATGCTGCTAAACATCATCTGCTAGACACAACCAGGCAGAAAACCAACCAGGCTGCACAAACCAGTAGAGCAAACAGATCAGAATACACCACCCAAATAGATCAGAATCTGTTTTAGGAACAGCACAGCAGAAGTAGAAAAATCTGCAGAATTAGCAAACAAACCAGTAGCTCATCCAACAAACAAACCGCCATCTTGGTGCATAACCACACCAAATCTGCCGGTATCACCAACAAGTATAACATAGCAGAGCAACCCATCCACAAACAGATTGCAGGAGACCTACTAGAAAATTCAGGGCAGCATTGTAAAGCAGCATAACTCCTTTTTTTTTTGGGCACTACAGCAAACCAGGTAGCCTACAACCTTGCAGCAAAACAGAACCAACATGCCCAGCAGTCCAAGGCAGATCAGAACCAACATGCCCAGCAGACCAAATAGAACAAACCAACTCCTCTGCACTAGCCAAAATCCTATGACAGAGCAGCACAGTAGACCAATCCAGCCCACAACCCAAAACCAGCACAGAGCCCACCAGCATGCCCAACAATCCAAGGCAGATTCTAGAACACTTCAGATGCTTGAATCTAAACTCCTCTGCACAAGCCAGCCCTCCTTAATGCATACCTAAACATGATTTAGAACAACCACTATACCAGCAAGACAAAATACAGATTCAGAGCTTCAACCCACTCCAGCCCAGACAACACAGATCAACAACAGATCAACCCCATCCTTCTTCAACCCACTCCAGCCCACAACAACTATAGAACCAGCACCCTCTTACTAACTGCAGAATGAGGATATTTAATTTCTTGGGACATTTCAGGACTGTAGCAAAACAGACACTGGAGCAAAACAGAAACTTCAGCTGGGCATACATCAGGCTAGAGCCAAACCACCTCAACTGATCTGAACCATACTGCTCTGAACTACTACAACCAGATATACAACCAGCAAATAGACCTCTACCTACTACTGCTTTGAACCTTACTGCCATCTGATCTGGTAGAGGTTGGACACTAAATCATGGACTGAATACTCCACCTTCAAGTGCCATTTGGACCACAAAGCTACCTGCACCTTCACTTGTTCGCAAAGAGCTTGTATATCAGGAATAGCATCCTTAAATAAGCATTGGTTTCTCAACCTCCAAACTGACCATAAAACTATAGAGGGAATAATCTTCCAAACTTTGAGTACCCAGGACTTGAGATTATGACTGCTCCCATTCCACCACTGAACCAGACCTTTTATAGAACCTGGAATTGCCCATATCTGATCCCACCACTCAACCATGTGAGACCAGTACTTCCATACCAAAGGGCACAACAGAAGCACATGTTCAATAGTTTCTACCTCTGCTTGGCAAAAAACACACAAGTTACTAGCACCCAAATGAAGAGCCCCAATTCTTTTAAGAAATGATGAAGTTTTAACTCTGTCACGCCAAGCCAACCAACAGAAAAATTGCATCTTTGGAGGGGCCAAACTCTCCCAAACCCCTGCTGGGACTACTAGATTATTCCCACTAGCTGCAGCCCTCTATCTCCATACAGAGGCAACAGTGAACTGACCTGACTTCTCTGCTAGCCATGAACATGAGTCCTCAACCCCATCTCTGAGCTTAGGAGTGAAAAACAGCATACCTACCAGCCTCTGCAGCTCCTCTTCCTCCCAAGCTAGGAGAGGCCTTCTGAATTGAAGCTGCCACCTACCTGAGGCACCAATCTTTGCACTCATCTGCTATAGGGTATCCTCCTTCTCTATGGATAAACTAAACAGCCTAGAAAATTCAGCCTTCAGCCCTCTGCCACCTAACCACGGGTCATGCCAAAACTTTATCCTCCTCCCATTGCCAACTACTATTTGAACCTGTTCTCCAAAAAATTCTCCCAATTGTTGATTAACCAACGAAAGTTGGGAAATATCCTTCCAAACCAGTGAGACCCCTGCTGGATGATTCAATAAAGGAGACCATCCCCCGCCACTTTTACCATACCTAGAGCAGATTACGTCTTTCCACAGAGCTGTATCCTCACTACCATACCTCTACCACCACTTTAGCAACAAGCACTCGTTGACCACACCTAAGTCCCTTATGCCCAAGCCACCTTGATTCTTACCTTTCGTGACCTCTCTCCATTTAACCATGTGCACCTTCCTGTTGGCAGCGGAACTACCCCAGAGAAAATTTGCTTGAATCTTAGATATAGCATTTACTATCCCCTTAGGCATTTTAAAGATTGACAAGAAGTATAAAGGCAAATTAGACAAGGCCGATTTGATCAAAGTCAATCTACCTGCAAACGACAACAATCTCATTTTCCAAGAAGAGAGTTTCTTCTGAAATTTCGCCACCACAGGATCCCAAGTGCTCTTCCTTCTAGGATTTGCTCCAAGGGGCAAGCCCAAAAAATTAATTGGCAATTTATTAGACAGACAGTTGAGCACCTTTGCGAACTCCTTGGTCTGGTCTTCAGTAAAACCCACCCCACAAACCACACTTTTGTGGAAATTAATCCTTAATCCAGAGATCACCTCAAAACACCTCAAAACTCTTTTAATATTGATGACATCATCCATGCCTCCTTCACAAAAAATGATGGTGTCATCAGCAAATTGAAGATGAGAGATGCCTATCGGATTAGACCCTACTGATGCTCCCCTAAATAAGCCCTTCTCAATAGCCCTACCCAACAAAAGATTAAGGGCTTCAGCCGCTATAATGAACAAAAAGGGAGATAGAGGGTCACCTTGCCTTAATCCCTTTTGTGGTTGAAACTCCACCGATGGTGAACCATTAACTAATACAGACACCATGGTTGTTGTAACACAAGTTTTCATCCACCTAATCCACCTTGCCCCAAAACCAAAACTCCCCAACATAGATAGCAAAAAATCCCAACTTAACAAATCATAAGCTTTCTCGAAATCCAACTTCAAGATAATTCCCTTCTTCCTAGCTTTGTGCCACCCATCTACAACTTCATTGGCGATCAACACTCCATCCAATATATGTCTACCACTAACAAACGCTGACTGCACCTCATTAATCACAGTTGGGAGAACCTGCTTTATTCTATTAGACAACACCTTGGCCAAAATCTTGTATATGGAACTGACCAAGCTAATAGGTCTATAATCACCTAAACCTGAAGGGCTATCCCTTTTAGGGATAAGAACCATGAAGGAGCTATTGATCCCATATGATAGCTTAGCATTAGTGTGAAATTCATGAAACAGTTGAACAATCTCACTTTTCATAATAGACCAACATTTTTTAATGCATGCCAAATTAAAACCGTCAGGACCGGGGGCTTTGCTCCCATCACAATCTTGAATAGCTACCCAAATCTCAGCTTCCGTGAATACTGCCTCCAATTTAGCTGCTGCCTCTGAGTTAATAACATTAAAAGGGCCCGAAAGCTTTGGCCTCGCAAACTAACACTCCTTAAACTGCTTGCTAAAGTGCCTCACCACAGCCTGTTTAATCTGAGCATGTTCCTCCAAGCACTCCCCTTCCACACACACTGAGTCCAACAAGTTCTTTCTTTGTCTACTGCAAGCCATAATGTGGAAAAACCTAGTGTTCTTATCACCATTTTGGGCCCAGAGCACCCTGGACTTTTGATGCCACAACCTTGCCTTATCTCTGCATAATTTCCACACCAGACTTCTAACTTCTCTTCTACTTCTAATACCTGCATCATCCAGAGACCCAGACTCTGCCTGCAAATCCCACTCATGTAACTCCTCCTCAGCAGACTTTAATAGAGCGTCAATATTTCCAAACACCTCCTTATTCCATATCCTTAGATGGGATCTTAAATCCCTTAGTTTCCTCATGAGTCTAAACCCAGCCCAACCTGACACCTGATTATTTTCCCAAATCTGTTTGACTGCAGGCATAAATGAAGGGTGAGCTAACCATGGATTTAAGAACTTGAATGGTTTGGGTCCCCAATCCCTTTCATCTTCCTTCAACAGAATAGGGCAATGATCTGATACAGTTCTAGGTAAACCCCATTGCTTGAAGGAGAATATTTCTAACCACCTAGAATCCAATAGAAATCTATCAATCCTACTCCATCTCTCCCCATCCACTACATTGCACCATGTGAACGGCCTTCCTAACATAGGTAAATCTGATAGTTCCAATTTGTTGATAAACTCATTAAAATCCTTCATCCCCTTCTCCCGCCTGGAGCACCCTCTCCTCTCACTAATGAATCTGATTTCATTGAAATCCCCCCCCACACACCAAGGGCTTGGATAATGGGGAAAAACATCAATCAAGACCTCCCAAAACTTTCTCCTAGCTACACCTTTATTTGGGGCATAAACATTGACTATGGTACACATAAAAGAAGGGCTAGATATACCTGATAAAAGAACGAAATTCTTACTGCAACAGCAGTCAGTAAGCTTAAAAACCTCTGGCCTCCAGATGCTCAAAAGACCACTGGCAGAACCTTCCGAATCCACTCCCATAAACTCCATCTCTTCATAAGGCCAGATAGACTTCACAAAACTAGCATCCACCGAACTTCTTTTAGATTCTTGCAATAATAAAACATCCACATTCCTCTCCCTCACCAGCTGCTTAATTTTCCCCCTTTTTTCTAATCTACTCAGCCCTCTAACATTCCAAGATAAAATATGCATGGATAAACCGAATTATCACCCTTTTTTCCCCAAAATACATTCTGCTATCTTCTATTTGCCTCAACTGCAAGTCTTTCCACATTGTTTTCCTCAAGCTCCACTATTTTGTTCACAACTTCTTTCTCTCTACCCTGATACTGCAGTCCCAAAATTGCTCCCACCTTCAAAGTTGACTTTGCTTCTTCAATTAAATTCCTTCTACTACACCTCGATTGATTTTGGGATGATGACAAAGAGGAAGCTACAGCTGCTGCCATGGCTCTGAAAATGGCACCTCTTTGGAACCCAAAACTGCCGAGTGCTCCCTTTTGTTTGTTGATAAAGCCTTTTTTACGATTGTTGGATGTTGTCTTATCTGCAACCTCCTTGACTTTACTGCTTGCAACACCAGATCTACCTAAATTATTCTGTATGGACTGAAACACATTGGGCTTAAACCTGGGCTGGGCCACACTCTCTTCCAATGTCAACCTCTCCCTGTTGTCTAATCCATTGGGCAAAGGCCCAACATGCACCCCTTCAAGTACTACTTCAAGATTAATTTTTGATGTACCTTCCTCAGGCCCACACATCTCTGTACAAGGCCCAGAAGAGCCAAGAACCCCGTTTGAAATTTGAAAGTTTTTCATCATAACTTGTTGTGAGTTGACAACTTGAACCATACCTTCCTCATTGGAACATGCACCTATGTTAGCATGCCCCATACCTCCCTGTAACACACCTTCGGCTACTGCATGTTGACCTTCATCATCCTTACCAACCATATCTGGTCCCTCTATTTCTGTCTCCAGCACCCTGCTCTCCTCCGCGGATCTTCCCCCCATTACCTCCTCCCTTGGTACAGGAACTTTCTGGACACACCTCCTACAATCTCCATTTCCTGATAATTGGTCCACCTCCTCATTAACTTGGATGGAGGAAGACCAATAACATTACCCCGACTAGAACTTAAACTCAGACATAAACAGCGAGGTAATTCCTCGCAGACCCTTACTGGATACAGAGTTCCTTTGCATTCTAAGTGAACCATCGTATTAATCATTTTCATACACCTCGTTACCACTCGGACTCTGCCTTGCTGAAAAGATTGAAAGTTATTAACATCCTCCTCAAGTTGGACCATCGTCCCCCAATGAGTAGCTATGCTACGAAAGGAAGTGACACTCCAAAGATTAATTGGAATGTGCCGAAACAACACAACCAAACGCACCTCTCCTGCTCCACGTAGTGCCCTTCCCCCCATTCTTTAACTGAATCACACCACTCCTGTCCCCATGCACTCAGCTTGGCCTTCCCTTCCTTCATTTGTTGTACTGAGCTGAAGATTAACACCACTAATCTACCTCCACACTCCCTTGCAATCACATTCTTCATCCCCCTTTTATACAACTCTGCTCTAAACTCCTTGAAAGCTAAAAAATTGCGCATTGTCACCACTAAGCTATCATACCCCCACCCATTACCTTCCTCAAATGTTTTGATCACCACTTCCTCCCTTTCACGAGCTCCACCATTAACCAGTACTTCGGCATATGATTTCTTTCCTCCATGAAATTGAATCTGCTGCCCTTGAAGTTGGTTTTGTATCCTCTGCCCACCTTCTTTCGTACCTATCCTCCTCCGCACCATCGGATCAAAACTTTGGGTCTTTTGAAACTCTGCTTTTTTCACCTGCAAAGCCCTATTATCACACCACAAACCATCTGTCTTCTGGATTGCTACCTCTGCAGCCACATCACAATCATATCTAACAAAGCCAAATCTAGATCTTGTTGTTTGCCTCCTTTTCCTTGGGATGAACACATCTTTAATGATACCAAACTTACTGAAAAGGTTGAACAATCCTTCGGGATCCATTGACTCTGGGATATAATCCACAAAAATGGTGATTAACCCTTGCTCCAATCGATATCCTCGCTGCCAAATCGTGCTCTTTCTCCTTCGTAGTACTGGGTTCCATCCACCTTCTCTCTCTGAGGTAGGAGGTCGAAGAACTTATCAGACAATTCGACCCTTTGGTATAGTCTCACCTAGGCCAAAAAGTTGAATAGACAATATCATTGAGCCTAACATAAAATTGGTCAAAGGTCCCAGATTTCATCGTTTTACATCCTTCAAATTTAGTGGCCAAATCTTCAGTTTTGAGCCTTTCACCGTTTGTGTGCCCTTGTGTGTGATTTTAAGAATATCCCAGGCTTCTTTCTCAATCTCACTAGCAGTTACATCACTAATGACCATTCATTTCATCTCATTCAAGTAAATCAAATAGAACATAAAGCCATATTTGTTTATTGGTTTGAAAAAAGAGATTGAATCACTAATTTGTAGGCCTAATCAAAAGCATATTTGGTTATGAAATTAAAAAAGTCCCATGGGACCATAGGGAATGGAATACCTCCATACCTCTCCATACTTCATTTTGTGAGTTTTATTGCGGACTCACGAAAATAATCTAAACCGTTTATATTATAAACTTCACAGTAAAGACCGTTTGTACAAAAAACTAACTTCATCAGATACTGATAAATAAATAAGCAAACCACGTTTTATTTTGTAAAATGTATGGCTGAATTTTAAACTCATAGTTGCTGTTCATTTTTTTAAAAAATAGAATGTAATTTGTTTATATGTTTAATGATGTTTGATGAAGTTGAATTTTTGCAAATTCGCTGCAAAGTTTACAAAATGAATTGTTATCATTATTTTGGGCCCAAAATAGAGCTCACAAAATAAAGTATATAGAGGTATGAAAAATAATGATATGGAGGGGAGCCATTCTCAAACAACCTAGATTCACAAAATTAGTTAAGTTAAAAGACCATTTTACTTCCACTTTATAAAAATAACATATGAGAATTTTTGGATAATTTCTTAAATTTAATCCTAACAAATTAATATCATTATCTTAGATCTCCAAGATAAGATTACCAAACTAATAATCCCATCGTTCAACCCACTCAACCTAGGTTCAAAGAAGAAAAGATATGTAGAGGAAAGGGAAAAGTGAAATTTTCTTTTCTTTTTTCTTTTTGTTTCTCTCTACAAATTTTTTTTTATTTATAAATATTTGATCCAAACATATCTAAGCTAAAAGGTCCGATGATCATGTTATCCTACTGTGAAATGGACAACATATATTATAGAAATCAGTTCAATGAAAACACACCAACTATAGATTAAGATGTTACACTAAATAAATATATAGATTAGCTTCTTGAATTGAAGTTAATACAATCAGCACGACAAATTACACAAGCTTCAACAATTGTTCACAGTTGTTTAATTCCCTCTCTTTCATGGGCCTTTGACATTAACAGTTTCCAACTTCTGAGAAAAGATTGTTTCACTGATTGAAACCAACTTCTCAGCCCAACTCTATGATACGACAACTTGGAATCATCCAAGCAAAACACTGCTATAAAAACTAAATAAAAAGAAATTTCCTAAGACTACTTGAGATTTGTCATGTTAGATTTAACCTTCGATTGGTTTACCATCATTTTTTAGCAAAACTCAAACATTTTGGATTGATTTCGTCCAAGCGGATCTTAATTGTTCCAGGGTTCCCATCTTCAATCCACGTAATGGACTCCTTCTCTAACAACTTAATAATCTGTCAACAAAAAATTTAATTCACTACACTGTACATATATTCAAAAATCGAGGATTTTAATTGAGAAATTGAATAAGAAAGCAATTAGGCTTGTGAAGAAGAAGAACAAGCCAATAGACTTGCCCATACTGTAAAATTTCGACAAATGACAGACATACATACTCTAATCATATATATAGCATTGTTCAAAGGCACATAACACAAGGGCAATGGCTCAAGGAATTTCAACTACTACATTCATAAACTTGGCAAACTTGCAGATCATGAGAGAACTCATCTAATCCTAAACTGAGGCCCATCAATAATTCACGAAACAAATCTCCGTTTGCTCTTCAAACAAAAGGTTCATTTTCTTTAATTAGAAGTGAATTTCAACAGTGTTTAGGAGTAGGGAAATTCAAGGCTTGCAGTGAGGGAAGGAAAGACAACCAAAGTGTATAGTGCGCTTAGAGCTTATAAGACAAAAATAGCTTTATTAAAAAAAACAAAATTGATTATCGAGAAGCTGGAAAGGGATGCTTTTAGTTTCTTCTTTGTGATTATCAGTTTTCAACTTGTAAGAAGTTGCACCAAATAGGAACACCATATTCAACCTTGTGCCAGCCTTATTAAACAGTGTATTCTCAACTTGACCTAGACCAGAATGATTTTCCATTAATTACGCATTTTTAATCCTGTGTTACATTAATACATTTGATATTAAAAAGAATATATGTAACCAAGCATACAAAAGTTAGATCAAAACCCAAACCAACAGAAACTTCATTTGGGTTTGAAAAAATAAATCCTCACTACAAATTGGAGGTGAGCCAGATTAATCAAGTCCCATTATCCCTGACAAGAGCAACTAGCAAAAAACAGTAATGTTTTTCATGTCATCATTAATTCAATGAAACTCCCAACAACAGGCAAATTGCACAAGAAGCAATATTTTTTTATTACTGAAATTAGATCACGCTATTAGTCTTACCAGTCGCTTATTACGAGACCTTTTTGACACATCTTCACCATTTGTCTCCACAATAACCTTAAGGTACTTCATAGCTGGCAAGAAAGATGATACATATTACGTCTATGTTTTGTTAATCAGTTCCAAAACAAAATAAAACCAGTGAGAACAATATCTTACATGAGATGCCGGAAAGAGAGGAGAGATGGCACTTTAGAAGTCGTATTGCCTCCTTGTCACCCTGGTTATGTAGGTCAAGAGACACTGTATCTTCAGTCTCCCCATTTCTGCCAATAAACATGAAAAACGCGTCATTGATAAAAAGGGAAGAAAAAGAAAAGCAAAAAAAAGGAAAAAACAAAACAAGGCTAACCTAGCTTGGGTAATCATTTGAGCAGATTCTTCATCTGCTTCACGAGCTTTTCCATGAAAAAACTGTCCCTAGTCATACCACCGTCAAATAACGATGATGTTGGTTAGATTCATGCCACAAGAAAGTGCTCTAACATTTTTTCTTTTTGATTAGCAAAAGAAAACCTTTATTGATGAACAAAGAATCATTACATCAAAAAAGAGAAAAGAGATGGGTGCAAAAAGTATCATAACGAATATACCAGATACTCTACATACAAGAAAGTGCTCTAACATTTGAGTCCCAAACATGCCAGATGCTCTACCCACATATTAGGGTTCACATATCACTTTGATTGCTAGTATTGCTACTATTGAATAATAATAATAATAAATAAATAATCCATATGTGTCAAGAACTCCCATTATTTATGTGTAGATAATGTCATATGACACCATAAATCCTACCTTGGAGTTTAGATACTACCACCAATACTTCTCTCTTTATTTCATTCAGTATCAACCAACTCAAAAAAACTACAATACCATTATTGAAAGAATTTGAGCCATTTTAAAATTCAAACCATCATTTAACTAAAAGCAGAGTTTTTTTTTCTCTCTCTTTCTTGATCAATGGGATAACCAACATAATTTAAATAGAATTGTAAGCAATGACAAGGAGATAGAAACTAAGTTGTTAATTGACTCAAAAACTCATAAAACAATTAACATACCTCTTCTAAAAGTTTGCTAGCCCGAGCATGATCTCCCTGAGCAAATGCTTCAATAGCCTGACAAAAAATTGGAAGGGGGAAAAGTGAAATCCGTTCTTCAAGCTTCTATACTTACAATGGAAATGAGCTCACGACATGAGCAACAAAACTTTAAGTGACTCACAGCTTTATAATATTCCTTCATTGTAGCTCGATACTCTTTCACGGCTTTACGAAGCACCAAGTAGTTATCCCCTTCATCTACATATTTTGACAATAGACCTCGTGAGAAATCAAAAATAATGAGAATAGAAGACACAAATGTTAGGCAAAGGAATCATTTTTTGTTTCAGTTTTTTTATCTTTTTAATTGGTGAAGTGCTAGATAAAGTAAATCAAGCACCATCAAAAAGGCAAATTATGGGTATTGTTCATATGCTTTTTTCCTAAAATATTGCACCACCGGAGTTAGCTTTGTGGCCAGAACCCATGTACCTCACAAGAATGACATCCTTAGGGTAGCTTACAAGTATGACTATAACATTTAATTTCTGAAGTTTCTTTTGTTTAATTAGTTTTACCAGCAAGATACCATAGCATTACTATAGCATAATTATTAACATTTTTTTTTTCTTTTTCGTTTTTTGTCACATGATATACATCAGTAGGGTTAGTTGTTAGTAGGGGAAATGCTACTGTTGTAGCAGTTGTCACTGAGGGTATTTTTGTCTATAATTATGTCATTATGCAGGGTAATTAGCAGTGTTCTTTTACATGGTGGTTGTTTTATTTCTTCTATTATACTTCTTACTTTATTTCTTCTATTACATTATCGTTGCTTTGAAGCATTTATGTTTGCACAAAATTTAAAGATTCAAACCATAACATATTGTCCATATAATGTAAGCTACCGTGCGTATTCTGGTCTTAATTTCTACCAGAAATGCTGAGAAAATTTATAGACCTCTTTCTACAAAAAAATAAAAATAAAGCAGAACTAAAAGAGTAATTATCCCAAAGGTTCACAAGTACTCTAAATTTGATAATATCTAGCTCTTTATATAATACTTGGGGAACAAAGTTATTCATTTAAGAGATGTAAATAAGTGCATTACCATCCTCCTCAATGTCATTACGTGGGCTCATGTTGGCAGTCTTGCGTTCTACAGTAGTGTCCCTCAGAGGTTCAACTACCACTTGTCTAAAGGCTTTAGATCTTTTCACTGCATTGATAGCAACCGTCTCTCTAGAAATCTCCTCAGATCTATTGGGAAAATGAAAGAGAGTCGATAAAAGTTCATGCTGAAGATCATCATGTCGTTTCTGTTCTCTTGGAAATTTTGTTCCATTTGTCTTCCAATTCAAGTTCTTATTGCTGCATCATTGAAAGGACTATTACAATCCACAAAAGACCAATGCTATAGGCTTACTAATTTTTTCAATGGTTGGTTCAACAATAAAGGAACCCTCTTCCCCTCCAAAAAGGGAAAATGTAAAGAAAAAGAAATGGGAAAGGAAAAGAAACAAAAGAAGAATTAAATGGAAGTTCATGAACTTGGGAAGTAAAGACGTACCCACTAGCACATGAAAGAGATCCCAATGTTGGATATCTGTCTCTAGACTGTAAAATTAACATAAATGAGAAGAAGTAACAATTATAATAATTTACAAGGCAACAATGCCTACATTTATCCAAGACTAATTAAGAAAGAAGTTCTTTTTTATAGTCAAGGAAAGAAGAAAATAAACACCATCTGAATAGGAACTGATTCAATTACTGGAAGTAAAAGCATTAACGTACATTAAGTACATTGAAAATGGAGAACAAAAATCATGATGAATTTACTTGTCAATGTAGTAATTATTGTTATTATTTTCTTGCTTAAGAAATTGATGCACTTGTCCCATTATCAAGAGATTATATTCACTAGCATCACTTCTTACCGTTTTCTTCCAAAATATAAACAAAAAGGTAAACATATATGCACACACATATATGTATGTACATCACAAAAGCCTAATAAAATAAAGTAAAATACACCAAATGTATATGAAAGAACAAAAGGAGAAAGAAGATAACAACATGGTACGCAATAGAAGAAGAAACAAACCAAAAAACCCATACCGTCCACAAACCCAAATGTTTGATATCCAATGGTGGAGGAATCAACAACCTTAGCATGGCCTATTACTAGCGTACGAGTATGAGGTCCATGTACGTGTTTCTTATTCTCTAAGGTTGTGTTTGAATCATAGATTTGGATAAAGATTTGGAAAGAAAAATAAAAAAAGTGTGTAAAATGTAGCTATATTTCATTCACATTTCACCTACATTTTTCATTTCTTTTTTCAAATTCCTACCCAAATCTATGAACCAAATATAACTTAAACAAAAAATTAGAGAATCAAAATATCTAAATTGGGTATTGATGTCAGACACATATCTTACACCATTATCCTTTTCATATCTGGTGGACATAGGTAAAAGGAGTGGTCATCTACTTGAAATGCATTGTAGTGATACAATTGTTCGGGATCGCCTTATTTTTAAAAATAAGCATAAAATAATTTAAGTGCATGGGCAGATAGAGTAGATTATGCAAAACCTTTCATTATCCCACTGCAGTTAATTCAAAAATTTGAGCGATAAGCCCTTGATCTAATCCAAAATGAAATGCTCTTGTAGTCCTATTGTCTAATGTCTTGCCAAAAAATTGTGCAAGACATTCAAATTAACTTCGTTGCCTTCATTTTTTTTTTTGAACGGCGAAGAAAAAGATCTTTATTGATGAAACATACACAGTATGACAAAAACATCAATAAAGAGGAGCTAAAAGCTAAACACAAGCTTCAAGCTCCAGTTGGCAAGAAACCAACAAGAAAAGAGAACAGATATGAACAAGATGCAAATCCAAAAATACAACAGCAGCTCGGGACTGATATGAACAAAATAGAGCTGATCCAAGAATACAGAACTGATCCAAACCAACTACTAAAAGCAAAACTGATACGGACAGCAGCAGAATTTGCAGAATACACTATGGACAGCAGCAGAATTTGCAGAATTACACTATGGAACAGCAGCAGCTCGGAACTGATATGAACAAAATGAACTGAACCAAAAATGCAGCAGAACTAGCAGAATTGCACTATGGACAGGGTAGAACCACCTGGATAAAATAGAACCTGCAGAATAACACTACAGCAGCAACAAATCTAACACAGCATGATTACACTTCGCAGACACCAAGCCAACCAAAGCAACTCAAGTGCGAATGCAGTGCCTGACACCTGAAGCATTGAATTGGAAATCATTGATGGAGAATGGAAAGTGGTTGGAGGAGGACTTTAACCAGATTGCTAGCCTGAAGATGATGAGTTCCTACAGCAGCTGGGTGTTAAGATGGGAGGCTTGAAAGAGGCACTCGTTTCTGATCTTCCAAATGGACCAGAGGGTGACCAAAGGAATGGCACGCCAGATTCTCCTCTCATTTTTCTTGCAGATGAACCCTACCCACCATTGCAGTAGATCTTTAACAGAGGCAGGAACCACCCAGAGAATACCCCACTATTGTAATAACCCAGTCCAAACTTTCCACACCAAAGGGCAGTGAATCAGAACATGCTGGATAGTTTCCTGCTGCGAGTTACAAAAGAGGCATGAGGTGGCAGCCGATCTATCCAATACGCCAATCCATTGCAAGAAGACAGAAGTTTTAACCTTGTGTTTCCAAGCGAGCCAACCGAAAAATTGTATTTTAGGTGGTAGATAATTGAGCCAAATCAAATCACTAGAAGGAACAGTGTTACCCAAGGCAAGATTAGAATGATTATAAAGAGTGGAAACAAAAGACTTGCTAGGATGAAGTGCTGCCCACATAGCTCTGTCATCAATTCCTAGATTCAAGGGAGGAGGAGTAGCTAAGGTGGTAATGAGTCTGTGAAGTTCATCATTTTCCCATTCGAAGAGGGCTCTTCTGAAGTTAAACACCCAAATGGAAGATGTGGTTGACACAAAGTCCTTGAGAAGTCCTTCTTTACTATTGGACAATTGAAAGAGCTTGGGGAATGCATCTTTAAGGCAATGAACCCCACACCATTGATCATACCAAAACTTAATACGACAACCATTCCCCACTTTTAGATAGAGATTACTAATATAGAACAACAGAAGGGACTCATGCTTATCTGCTGCTGCCAATATGCCACCCCAGATATTAGAGTGATGAATTGTAGAGCAAAGGTTAGGAATCCAAGACCCTCCTAGAAACTTATATTTACTACATAAGACTCGCTTCCATAATGAATCATGCTCTGAGGCAAATCTCCACCACCATTTGAGTAGCAAACACACGTTCATATCCCTGATTCGTTTGATGCCCAATCCTCATTGCTTTATGCTCTTTGTTACCTCCGACCACTTAACAAGATGAATCCTCCTCTTTAGATCTGGGCCTCCCCAAAGAAATGAAGCTTGAATTTTGTCTAACTCCTTAGCTACGCCTTCAGGTATTTTAAATAGAGACAAGTAAAATACAGGCAAACTTGACAGCACTGCTTTCACCAGAGTCAACTTCCCTGCATGGGAGAGAAACCTCATTTTCCACCCAGCAAGCCTCATTTTGACTTTATCTATAATTGGTTTCCACATCCTCTTTCTTTTGGGATTAGCTCCCAGCGGCAATCCAAGATACTTGAGTGGTAAGCTATGGGTCTTGCAATTCAACAGATGTGCAAACTCCTCTAGAGTATTGCCAGGGATACCGACCCCGCAAATCACACTCTTATGATAGTTGATTTTGAGACCTGACACTACTTCAAAGCATCTGAGTATCCTTTTCAAAGTGAGGACTTCCGAGAACTCCGCTTCACAGAACAGAAGAGAATCATCTGCGAATTGGAGATGAGACAACTGAACTTGATTATTTCCAATAGTGACCCCTTTGAGCAAATTCAACTCCCGAACTCGGAGGAGGAGAATGTTAAGAGCTTCAACAACCAAATTAAAAAGGAAAGGGGATAGAGGATCTCCTTGCCTGAGACCTTTTTGAGGATTAAATTCCTTAGTTGGAGAGCCATTTACGAGGATTGAAATTCTAGAAGTAGAAACGCATTCCTTGATCCATGAATTCCATTTGGGACTGAACCCAAAGTTTGATAACATTGAGGGAAGAAAATCCCAGTTGACAGAATCAAAGGCCTTTTCGAAATCCAGTTTAAACAGCAGCCCAGATTTTCTGGATTTAAGCCAACTATCTACAACTTCATTAGCAACCAAAACTCCATCCAAAA